TTAACTCATCCCTTGATAGGCATCTGAAATACACGATACCGTTTGGTGTTGTTTTGGCGGCGGTTTATAGACCGTTGATGTCGCGGTTGGATGTTTTTAAGCTTGTATTTTTGATAACGGTGGGTTTTTCTGGGACATTGAAGGGCTTGACGCTAATTTTTGCAGGTTGCTGTTGTTTCTACCATGTATGTTGATTTTGAAGGGGATTTTGTAGAGGCCTACTAACGCAAACAGCCCCTGGGACTCGTATCTCATCAAGAATCGCATATGGACTTATCCTCCTGGCGTCGTGGTCGGCTTGACAGCCTGGGATATTCCAGCTGAAGAATTATTTTTCTTCGTCATTCAGACTCTCAACACCTCTCTACTCTATATGATTCTCAGCAAACCAACCTTTCACCCTATTTACCTTGCTAAAAAGACAGGTTGGGGTAAAATCGCTGGCCAAATTCTTTTCGCATCAGCTATTATTTTCGGCCTCGTTTCTGTTTCCTCTGGCGGCGAGGGCATGTACATGGGCCTTATCCTCATTTGGGCCTGCCCATTCCTCTTGTTTTTATGGTAATACTCAACTTGAGAGACTGTTTCATGCTGGATATGCTAAACAATTGGCAGGTCAATTTCTTATCAGTTCATTGTGAATTTGCCTTGGACAAATACCGCGCTTCCCATTGCTTTGCCAACGTTGTATTTGTGGGTTGTTGATACTTTTGCGTTGCGACGGGGAACATGGAGTATCACTTCTGGCACCAAATACGGCATTGTCTTGTGGGATGGTCTTGACATTGAGTAAGTGGCTACCATCCTGGCAACCTGGAATACTCTAACAATTTGCAGGGAAGCTGTCTTTTTCCTCCTCACTAACACTTTGATTGTCTTTGGCCTCGTCGCTTGCGACAACACGCTGGCCATTCTCGACACTTTTCCTGAGCATTTCCCTCGAACAAAGGGACTACCCAACCTCTTGGTCATCATTCGAGCTCTTATTCTACCTAAAGAGAAGTATGATGAAGAGCGCATTGAAGGTCTCGTCAGCGCAGTTGCTCTGCTCCGAAAGAAGAGCCGCAGCTTCTATCTCGCAAGCGGCACCTTTGAAGGAAGACTTCGCATCGATCTGATTCGGTTGTATGCGTTTTGCCGAGCCGCTGATGATCTTGTTGATGAAGCTCCATCTGTTGATGATTCCAGAGCCTCAATTGAGAAGCTGAGAAAGTTTCTTGATCTTGCGTATGAAGAGAATCAAGAAGAGCCTTCACAGAGACTACGAGGATATGTCACGTCGAACATCCCGGAGATGTTCCATATGGCTCTGCTCCAGCTTCCTACTTATTATCTACCCAAACAACCCCTGGATGACCTTCTCAAGGGTTTTGACACCGATCTTCTCTTTGACAGAAAGTCCGGCGCGTTTCCAATTGAGACTACCGAGGATCTGGATGTCTACGGAAGTCGTGTAGCCGGCACTGTCGCAGAACTTTGCAACCACCTTATTCTCTACCATACCCCAGAATCTGTCCCCGAAGACATCCAGCGCGAAGTTGTCGCTTCAGGTCAAGAAATGGGCATCGCACTTCAATACGTCAATATCGCGCGCGACATCAAAACTGACGCAGAAATTGACCGCGTCTACCTTCCCCTCTCCTGGCTCAAAGAAGCCCAACTCACTCCCGAAGATGTCATCCAACAACCCCATGGCCCTACCATCGAAGCTCTACGTCACAAGCTACTCGATCGTGCTTTTGAAAAGTACAACATGGCAAAGGGCGCTATTGATAAGCTTCCTTCAGAAGGAAAAGGACCAATTCGCGTTGCTGTTGAGAGCTACATGGAAATTGGACGCGTTCTCAGAGAGAAGGGTCCTACGATGAAGAAGGGCAGGGCTACTGTTCCTAAGATGAGACGAATTCGTGTTGCATGGTCTGCATTGAACAAATAGCGGGGCGGGGCGTGGAGGATGTAATGGTAGAAGTCATAGATTCATAGATTATTCATTTCATTCCACTTTGAGCATCTTTTTTGTTCTTTCTTTTTTTATAGAGACTAAAGAAAAGTTTCAAACTACGTCTATACAACGGTTGGAATTTTCTTGGCATCATGAAGTCTCTCTCGTGGCGTCCCAATTTTCATGCCTCACCGTTGACATTTTGACAGCACCACCACCATAAACTCACCAACCAATCATTCAACACGCATCTCATCACCAAATCCACTAAAAGCCCCCCCCAACCAAACCCGTCAATGATCTTCAACGCATCAACGACTTCAAGTCTCCCTCTCAATCTTCAGTAAAACACTTTAATGCCTCAAAATATAAACTGCGCCTCATTCAGCACAGGCTAACTTAGCCTTTCACATGTACGCCAAGTGTCTCGTTAAACGAGTGCGAAGGGAAAAAGTGGATCAAAACAAAATGGAAGACGTCATTGACTCTATTGCTCTGACTATCAAAACCGTTGGCTTCGGGTGAGTCGGTTATTGACTGAGCATCTTCACTTTTTACAGCGAAAATGAGCGACATTAAGAAATCTGTTATTGTTATTGGTATGCTACCCCTAATATCATGAGCTATGAGGAGGTATTGACTGATAATGAATAGGTGCCGGTGTCGGTGGTGTTTCTACTGCTGCGAGACTTGCAAAAGCTGGCTTCAAAGTCACTATCCTCGAGAAAAATGACTTTACCGGTGGACGTTGCTCTCTAATCCACAACGATGGCCACGTACGTCTTCCCTCTCACTCTATTTACGCCCACTAACCTTGTCAGCGCTTCGACCAAGGTCCATCTCTTCTTCTTCTCCCTCGCTTCTTCCACGAGATCTTCCAAGACCTAGGAACATCTCTTGCCGCCGAAGGAGTCGAGCTTTTGAAATGTGAACCAAACTACAACATCTGGTTCGGCGATGGTTCATCCTTTGAGATGTCTACTGATCTCACCAAGATGAAGAAAGCCATTGAAGCTGTTGAAGGCATCGATGGTTTTGAGAGATATCTTGGTTTTCTTCAGGAGTCGCATCGTCATTATGAAGTTAGTGTCGAATCTGTGCTTCGAAGAAACTTTCCTAGCATTTTGAGTCTGGCAAGACCTGAGGTGCTGTTCAATCTGTTCAATATTCATCCCCTTGAGAGTATTTGGACAAGAGCGAGCAAGTACTTTTGGACAGAGAGGTTGAGAAGGGTTTTTACATTTGGAAGTATGTATATGGGTATGAGTCCGTTTGATGCGCCGGGAACATATAGCTTGCTTCAGTATACTGAGCTTGCTGAGGGTATTCTATATCCTCGAGGTGGATTCCACAAGGTTGGTCTTGCAACCCGACATGATAAGTTCCTCACTAACAGCTTCAGGTCGTTGAGGCTCTGGTCAACGTTGGTCAACGCCTAGGTGTCGAGTACCGTCTCTCCACCGGCGTCAAGTCCATTTCCATCGACCAAGCAACCGGCAAGGCAAACGGTGTTGTTCTGAGCGACGGAACGCATTTACCTTCAGACATTGTCATTTCAAACGCCGACCTTGTCTACACTTACAATAACCTCCTACCCAAGACAAGCTACGCAAACTCGCTATCAAAACGAGAGACTTCTTGCAGTAGTATCTCTTTCTACTGGTCTGCTTCCAAGATCATTCCTGAACTCAACGCTCACAACATTTTCCTCGCGGATGAATACCAGGAGTCTTTTGACAGCATCTTCAAGGAGCACCTCATTCCTTCAGAACCATCTTTCTATGTCAATGTCCCTTCGCGCATTGACCCCTCGGCTGCTCCCGAGGGCAAGGACTCTATCGTCGTCCTTGTCCCTGTTGGCCATCTTCTCTCAGACTCTGAAGGAACACATCGAGGTTTGTCCAAGTCTGGAAACTCTGGTGGCCTCGAAACGAGCCAGGACTGGGATAAGATGATCTCTCTCGCCCGCGATACAGTCATTGCGACAATGCGCGCGAGAATCGGCGTTGATCTCGCTCCGCTTATTGAGAACGAAATCATCAACACACCCTTCACATGGCAAGAGAAGTTCAACCTCGATAAGGGCGCCATTCTTGGTCTAAGTCACTCCATCATGAATGTCCTTGCCTTCCGACCTGCTACTCAGCACTCCAAGTACAAGAACTTGTACTTCGCTGGTGCTAGTACACATCCTGGCACTGGTGTTCCTGTCTGCATTGCTGGTAGTAAGATTGTTGCGGAACAAATTCTCAAGGATTCTGGTTTCAAGAACCATCAAATTCCTTGGGCGCAAGATACTGCCAAGTCTCCTAAGGGTGGGCTGGACAAGATGAGCGATTCGTCTTTGACCTTGTTCCAAGGGTTCTTGGGAGCTTTGGTTGCAATTTTGTTGGCTTATTACTATCTTGTCATTGCTTCTAATTAGCGATCATTAGTTGGATTAACTAGGAGTATTTCTTTGGTGCGATTACTTAGTTAGAGATAGGATGAACTCCCCTAATACCTATATCTGCTAGACTATATCCATGATCCTCGAAGGTCAGCATTATGAAGTGAACAACATGACATTTATCTAATCGGAAAGAACCGGACTCTTAATAATTCTCATGCACTGTCCCAGACTGTGCTTGATCTGATCATCTCTAACCCCACCAAAACGTCGATCCCCGTCGCGTTACATGGAATATTCCTATCTCAACCTCAATCCGTCATCATTTTCGGCAAATACATCAATCAGCCTTACAATTCCCACTTAAACTACCGCGGAACCCTCCCTTCACGCTACGGCTACCGGCAACGTTTTTAATCACTTGATACCACGTCTGAAATCTAGTGGTGTGGACTCAACATGTCAGCACGTCATAGACTCAATATCAGCCATCGCAGATTCTGACAGCGTATATTGATGAATGATGCATTTTGTTTTTGGCAATGACGATTCCTCGGCAGTTATTTCCGTGGGAGTTCGGGAGGATCGGATATGAAGTCATGGAGAGGGAAATGGAAAACGTGGGAAGAAGCTTGGCTGCATTTAAGGGTTTGACATACCAGTCATCCTCTTGGCTTGCAGACATAGCATTTTTCGTTCCACGAATACGAAGTTACTTTTTACCGTTGAGTCAACTGTTTTACACCATGGCCGATCACCTGTATGCCAGAAAAAATGATGCTTTAAACGTTAACCGTGAGCCTTATCAACCCTTAGTTAAGACAAACTCACTAAACATTTCACTGCAGCTGACATTGTCAATGGGCAACGCAGCGACATTAACATCACTGTCAGAGGCTCTGACTGGTATTGGGCTGTATGCGCAGGTGTGTACAGTAAAACAACGTCCAGGTTTAAGTAATGGAAAGACTAATTGTGTTCAGTCATGACAGTTTCAACCTTTGCGTTTCTCGGGCTTGGAATGAGAAAGCCTCGCACCGACCGTATCTTCCAGTAAGTTTCATCAGAGTTCCATCGAACATAGTTTCAATCTGTCCGATTCATGACTGTGCACGGAGTTAAGGTGTCATGCGTTTTACTGACATGCTTAGCTACATCACTGCAGGCATCACAATGATTGCATCGATCGCATACTTCACGATGGCCTCAAACCTCGGCTGGACGCCTATCGCAGTTGAGTTTAAGCGGTCCGATCATAGGGTTGCCGGGATCTACAGAGAGATCTTTTATGCGAGATACATTGACTGGTTCTTGACAACCCCCCTGCTACTCACAGATCTGCTTCTTACTGCCGGCATGCCATGGCCTACTGTACTGTGGGTAATTCTCGTGGACTGGGTCATGATTGTCACCGGACTAGTCGGGGCCCTGGTCAAGAGTTCCTACAAATGGGGTTATTTCGCCTTCGGTAAGTCGTCTTCCATGCGTTGACACCACCATCACTAACATGCCTCCAAGGTTGCGCTGCCCTCGCATACATCGTTTATGTTCTCGCTTGGGAAGCTCGTCTGCACGCTAAACATGTTGGACCTGATGTCGGTCGAACCTTTGTCATGTGCGGTTCCCTTACAGCTGTTGTCTGGATTCTCTATCCCATCGCCTGGGGCGTCTGTGAAGGTGGCAATCTTATTGCTCCGGACTCCGAGGCTGTCTTCTACGGCATTCTTGATCTCATCGCAAAGCCTGTCTTTGGAGCCTTGCTTCTCTGGGGACACCGAAACATCGACCCTGCTCGTCTTGGCCTTCGCATTCGCGACATTGACGAGCGCATCTTCCCAGATGGTCCCAACAATAAGACCACGTCTGGACATGGTGCTCGAAACGATACTGCCACTGCCTCTGGCGCTAATGTCAACCCAAACGCTTGAGTGGAAGGCTACGATTAAAAATAATCGGCGGCCTGGTTCTTGGGACCGCCAAGATCTTAGATCTTGGTCTCTTGCACGGTTTTCTGGTCAATTCACCAACTGTTCCTGTTGTATGTTGTTCACGAGTTGGATGCATGTGTATAGTTTCATGTACAGGTACTAGTCTGATGATACCCGAAGTCTGTTTCGTGGCACGGATATGTCTTGAGGCTTGTTCTAATTGTCTAATTGTCTAATTTCAATCTTTATATCTTTAGTCTTATTACATGGCGAAATCTTGCTTAACTCACTCATTGATTCATAACCCGACCTGTTTCGCGAGTTTGGTGGTGCATAATAACCCCTTAAGAGATGGTATCACTCCAAGATGAGTGATAGATGTTTTTCGATGATGTCCCGTAGGTTACTATCCATAGGGGAAATATTCCATTTCGTCTAGCATCCCATCCAATTCTTTAGAGGCTATCAAACCCAACACCGTGATATCCAGTGAACGAAATAATTGTCCTGCAATAAGCTAACTACTACTACCTATCTCAGCTTAGTCTACCTTCCTCTCTTCACTCTTGTCGGGAGTTTGCTGGGGAGTTGAAACTCGCATAGGGGTTCCCTCCATCACCGGTGTGATACCTCCGTTCATGTAGTGGTCCTCCCAGTCCATATCACTGAGATACTTGTAGTCAAGACCTCTGATCTCGTGTTCCTCGCTAGCTCGAAGATGCAGACCAGGGATTTTGCCAATGACAAAGAGCAATATGCACGAGATAACGAATGACCAAGCGGCACAAGTCACAGCACCCGCAAGTTGGAGACCAAGCTGGCGGTAGTTACCATCCCACCAACCACCTTCATAAGCGTCTCCTGATACACCGTCCAGCGCAGGAACATATCCAGTAGCAAAAAGACCTGTCAGGATGTCTCCGATAACGCCACCAATTCCGTGGATGGCGAAGATATCGAGGCCATCGTCAACCGAGAGAATGTACTTATACTTGACACAGTAAAAGCACACCAGCGACGTGACACCTCCAATTACAGGAGAAACATAGATGAGCGTGAATCCAGCAGCGGGTGTGATGCCAACTAGTCCTGCGATGATGCCGCTGCAGAAGCCGACCAAAGAGAACTTTCGGGTATGCAAGTATCCGAGCAGAACCCAAGCGATTCCACCGGCACAAGCTGAGAAGTTTGTGTTTGCGACGACGTAAATCGATCGAAGGCTAAGGTTTGCGGTGCTGCCACCTAAGTTGAGGGGTGAAGGTTAGCTTTCGGCCGCACATCTCAGCGACAATTGACATACCGTTAAAAGCGAACCAGCCAAACCAAATAAGTACAGTTCCAAGAACCATGAGCAATGGGTTATGTGGTTTATAGTGTACAGCTCGCTTGCGATCGGTGATGCTGGCGTCCGGGAGTCGAGGTCCCAGCATGATGGACCAAGCCAGAGCACCAAACCCGGAGGCAATATGGACTGGCCCCGATCCTGCGAAGTCGTAAAGACCTAACGCGTACAACCAGCCTGAGGGATTCCACTCCCAATAAGCTAGACTACAGCGGCGTTTGTTAGTGACTCTTCACGAGACGAGGTTTGGTCCCCGCTGGGTCCACGGCAGGGTTGCGATCTAGGGGAGACTGCGACATATAACATACGGGTAATACACAAAGGTTGTCCAGCACAGAAGGAACACCATGCTAGGCCACAATCTGCCTCTTTCCAGCATCGCTCCAGCCAGAATCATGGCAGTGGCGGTAACGAAAGTGACTCCGAAGATCGCATCTGGGGGAAGTAATAGTCAGCATTGGAGGAAGATTGAATTATGCAATTGCACTCATAGATACATACATAGGATCTCTGGGATATCAGAGTTTGCAATCGATGGCTGGGCAAGGACGTTGTGGAATACGGCGAGCGACAGGTCACCCAAGATTGGGTTTGTAGTTCGAGATTGATACAAGCTATAACCATAAATCCAAAATTGTATGCCTACAGCACAGGCGCAGAAAAGAGACTGCAGGATTATCGTCAATGCTGCTTTCTTCCTATGCATACCGGCATCTGTGTCGTGTCAGTGTATGGAACCGAGTATCTCGATGCATCACAAATCCTTACAAAGAAAGCCGATTGCAGGAGTGATCTGCCAGCAAAGAATTGTGCAAACAAGCATCCATGCCATATCGCCCTGTAAAACATCATTTGTTAGATCTGGAATCTTCACCGAAGTTTTCGTGGAAGCGTAACATTGGGATGAGAGCCGGTGGAGCGAATGCACAATCCGGCCCTTCGTCTCGCCGAGAATGACTAACCTTGTCATAAGTAGCATTCAAATCATGGGTAATGGGATTACCGCCCGTTGGATCGTCATTGTAATCGGGCCACTCAGTGACCGGAGTGATTGTCGAAGCCATGCTGTATCAAATTGGGCAGAGGAACAGGCAGTACACGCTGCTGGGCTCCATCCCGACGGCAGAACCCACTGTCTTTAATGGCTTTTCCCCTATTGAGGCCCTGAATCCTCGTATCTCAGACATATCCTACTGTTTTGCCAAGAAATGGGTATCATAGCTGAATCGGGAACATTTTTCCCTTTCCGGCGAAACCACCCGAGATAAGAATTAAGGTACAAGATAACGTTGCTTCATCGCGACGTGGCGTAGATTCCTTATCTTTGGCTGCATGATGTGTGGTTGGACAGATCTGAGATCTGCAGAGATAACGGACAAGCGGAATGTTTGTTGCCCTGGCTTCAATGCGTTTCGGATCAGTATAGTACAGAATAAAAGAGCACGTCAGGTAGCAGAGTTCCTCCAAAGTACTCTATATAAATCCTCTAATCTTAAGAAGGCGTCAAAACTAATGCAAAACCTCGTAGAACTTCAGCTAAACTCTAGCCTAATCTTATGGCATTTTAGGTAATCTTAGTACCGCGCCTCTATTGATGGCAGAAGGTGAGTTCATGACTTCACGTCTCGCAAGAGCCAATGGTAAGTGATTGTTGCCCGGTGCCTTGCAGGGGATGGAATGTTGGTCGGTAGTTAGCTACGACCTTATCTTTGGCCAGGTTCGCTAGTTGAGAAACGCGGAGAAAAGCCTGAGACCTATTGGCGGGGAGCGAGGCCACGCACGCGTTGTTCAGTCTGCAAGGTCGAGCCAACTTTAAGGTTGCGATAAGAGATTATGCTTATCTCTCTTAAGAATAAGGAGAGCCAATTAGAGAAATTTTTGGGCCCACTCTGGCCGTTGAGTAGAGTGAGGCTACCCGGTAGTCCAGTGACTACCTCTGTTGGGAATCCCAATGTTTGCGTTTGACCGGCCATCAGATCATTTGAATAACATTTATGTATTTACAGATCTTCTTGTCTAGCTTCTAGGCCAGTGTTTGCGCTTCTTCCGGAGAGCAGAAGCGTACGCCGTGCACATATGTGAGTTCTTGCGTAGAAAAGACTAGGTAAACAGATTCATAAAGGAGGGTTGCTGCTTCGCATCATTTTCCCGCCTTTGGGATTAATACCAGCACCTCATGTCGAAAACTTCAATACAGGAACCGTAAGTAAGAGATAGACTCCAGGTATTTAATAAGGACTTCACTCTGAGCTGTCGTTTTTTGTAACAAGTTCGAGTGATGGTCGAAGTTGAAAATGTGTGGCTCTGGCCCATGACGCGCCACGCGTCCGCGGGAAACGAAACATGTTTTCTTACCGAGGCAGCGTAGTTGAGGCTCCGTACTTGCTTTGTCATGGTGCTGTTCAAAGAAAAACACCACCATTCATGGTAATAATTCTGTTCGTGGCTAAGTTGCGGTGCCATGTTGTAGCCAGTCGAATCAGCCCAGCATGATTGATCTCAGGGTGGCCGAAAGCGCGCCCCTTCAGTTTGACGCGTCTTCCCACGATTTATTGACTCCCGAGCCTGTCAAAGTTGAAGGATACAGCGGGACATTTCCGGGCACTAGTGACTCGATGCTAGCAGTGGTATTGATTTTCATCGAACTACGGTAACCTGTGACTGGAATCTCCCTCCAGCGCGAGGTAATCATCGGCCTCGGTGGCGATCGATGAAGCCATCGGATAAGTGGGGACGGCATCCCGGCCAAAACGGGCACCGACTCACAAGGCCGGCTCCACAGCCATGAATGTCCCGACATGCCGATCCGTCATTACATGAAGCTTTATTTGTGTCGTGTTTCTTTATATACAAGCCTTTTTCAATTTTTTTTAGCTTAAAATGAGCTATTATGAGATTATTGCTATAACCTCCTGTTAGATTCTGGCATTCCAATCATCATCCAGCATAAGTTATTCGGTTCACTCAGAAATGACCAACCAATCTGTTATAGTCGTCGGCGCAGGCCCTGTTGGCCTTTTCACAGCCTTGATCCTTGCCCAGAATGGAATCAAGGTGACAGTGATTGAGGCAGACGAAGGGATATCCCGTAGTCCACGAGCCGCAGTGTATGTTCTCTCATCCAACTGCCATTCATTCACTGACATACCAATCGCAGACAGCTCCCTTGCGTTAATCTCGAGTTTGCCAAGGCTGGGATCATCGAAGAGGTTTTCGAGTACGGTTGTAAAAGCGAGCATGGATACTCTTGGCGAGACGGATACGATACAACAAAAGTCCTCGCGGACTTCGCGCCTCCACCATCAGATAATCCCAATCTTTGCGCAGCCCTGATAGGGCAAGACGTCTTATCGCAGATCTTCCTCAAGCATTTGATCAATACGGGAAATGCGGAGATCATCTTCAACCACGCCTTCACTCGTGTTGAAGACCATGGCGATTCAGTTACTGTTCACGCTCGGCGTGTACTTGATGGTCAAGAGCTAACCTTTAACTGTCGGTATGTCGTCGGAGCTGATGGTGGTAAGAGTTCGGTTAGAAAGTCTTTAGGCCTGTCTCTCGAAGGCTACACCTGGCCAGATATACGGCTCATTGCAGTCAACATCCTCTACGACCTTGAAAAGTTAGGCTGGAAGCATGGTAACTTTATCGTACATCCTGAGGATTGGGCAATCGTTGTGAAACGTGGACCAAGAAATCTGTGGAGGGTTGCAACCAGCGTTCCATTTGCTCAAGGCGCTGATGGGGAGCCTATCACTGACAAGACTGTTTTCCCCATCATTAGAGAGAGGCTTGCTAGGATCTTGCCAGGTAACACTGATGAGGTCATCTACCTCCAAGCAGCTCCGTATACGATTCATCAGCGCTGTGTGTCGAAATATCGGGTTGGTAACATTATCCTTGCCGGAGATGCTGCCCATGTAAGTTCTTCCTTACCGCCAAATACTTCGCCTCTAACCACTCTCTAGCTCAATAATCCAGTTGGCGGGCTTGGACTGACTACGGGGTTACTTGATGCCGCTCATCTGGGCAAAGCTTTAACGCAGATTCTAAACGAGAATGCCCCAGAAACAGTCCTCGATGAGTACGCAAAGGCCAGGCGTGATGTCTATAAGAACATCACAGATCCATTATCGACTGCGAATCTGTTGAGGTTGAAGTCTACTGCCCCTGAAGATGTCGCCACGAGGGAGGCATTCTTCAAGATGATGAATGATCCGAATGAGAAAGCCCAGGTGTTTGCTGGAATGGCAAAGGAGATGGGGTTATCGACTACCTTGGATATGAAGGATTTGGGACCAAGACCACAGCTGTGAACTGAAGAAGAATAGATACAGTGGTTCCCCGCTTGGAATGAGAGAGAGTCTTTAGCAGTGTGGCAGTGATGCGTAGCTTAACATTGGCCTGTGTCCAATGCCACATTATTTGCGATTATAAACTGAAGTCTCCAACATTCACACGATATGAAGTAAAACATTGGGCTTGATGCCAGTCTATCGCCCTACTGTCCAAATATATATATATATATCTGTCTCTCTCTCGCTATCGCAACTACCGATCGATTATTTCGACGATGGCTTTACACAGGATCCGGATGGCCTGCGGACCTGTTGTCCGCTTCAGTGAGATGACCAATAAGTAACCAACGAAAGCCCGGCGCCTTAGCGTATGTACAACTCGCTAGACCTGTAAGTTTGCCACTCAAATCATTATTGATCACCTCATCCCAATGTTTTGTCGTCTGCCGCCTGCGTCACTGCCGTTCAGAGGAAGTCTTCTGCGCATGCGTGTTGTCTTCTTAATCTTGACCTTAGTTGCCGAGTTCAGAGAAGCCAGTGCGTTTCTTTCTAGCCTCTCCAAAGGCAGAACACTACTGTTTGAAGTGGCGGTGCGGTGCTAAATGGCCGGCGCGTCTACGGACCCGCGGTCGCCGTGAACGCCGTCTCCACCAACCCGATGTATCTGTCAACGTTACCCCAGATCCCAATTCGGCACTGACTGGGGTAAACCTGGGGAACAGGCCATTCATTCTTTCGCTATTTGCCCCGACACCTTTGCAAATACCGTGAAAACCAGCATGCGAATTCCAGCCACCGGCATTCAGACACGGATGTGCCTTGCCTGCAACCTTGATATAACATAGCCCAATCCCACGGTGTTTTGCTACTGGCATCTCCTTGCATCTCAAGCATTCAACCTCTGAGTTGCATCGCCAACATGGCTTCCCAATCCTCCATCCACGCTCCTTTTGAGCAAGATGCTACTCGAATTCACTCCAAAACGATGATATGTCTTTTCGTAAGTCACTCTGCACTTCCGACACCTCCAAGCTAATCACAGCCCAGGCCGTCAACATCATATACCTGACACAAATCCTCTCTCTCGTCGGCACAGGCCTCTTGGCAAATACCATGGCCCAAGTCGTCGGTGGTACTGGACAAACTGTCTGGTACTCATCATGCATCACGATCCTCACCGTCGTCCTGAATCCACCCATCGGCCAAGTTGCTGATTACTGGGGCCGCAAAGCCATCCTCGTCGTTATGCCACTCGCCGGCGTTGTGGGCAGCATCATCGTGTCCCGGGCTCACAGCTCCGGAACTCTCATCGCCGGGTTCGCTATCTTGGGTCTCAACTACGGAAGCCAGTCCCTCTCTATCGCCGTCATGTCTGAGATTCTTCCTCGGCATTATCGACCTATTGGACAAGCAGTTGGGAGTGTATCGACTGCGCTTGGTGCTATTATTGCTCTGCTCATGGGAGGCGGGCTCCTCCGTCACGGTGACAACTCCAACTATCGCATCTTTTGGTATGTGACGGCTGGTCTTTATGCTCTTGCATCTCTGGGCTGTCTCATTGGATATAATCCTCCACCTCGAGATCTACAAGTCTCATTCGATGTTTCACAAAAGCTCAAGAGCCTTGACTGGGTGGGGTATGCTGTGTTCGCGCCGGCTCTTGTCCTTTTTTGTATAGCTCTATCATGGTCTCAGAACCCATACTCCTGGGACAGCGCCAACATTCTCGCACCTTTTATCATCAGCATCGTCGCGCTGATCATATTCATTGTGTATGAGTGGAGGTTCAAGAAGGACGGCATGCTTCACCATGAGCTATGGAGGCATAGAAACTTCGCCATCTCCCTGTTTATCATCTTTGTTGAAGGTATTGCGTTTTTCGCAGCCAACTCCTATTTCGTCTTCCAGATTTCTCTCGTCTACGATGTCGGCTTCCTCTCAGGTAGTGTCAACTTCGCCATCCTATTTATCGCAGCGGGCGTGTTCTCTCCTGTATTTGGCTTGTGGTCCTCTAAGCGGAAGACTCTTCGGCCACCGCTCATCTTGGGCGCCATCTGCTTTCTTGCTTTCTTCATTCTACTGGCAACTTCAAAGATTGACACTCCTCGATATGCTTTCTGGATATATCCTATCCTCCCTGGCATTGCGCTCCCTTCCATCGTTCCATTGTCCATGGTTTCTGCGCAATTCGCAACAACGCCGGAGCTGATCGCTCTCACATCTGCTATCATGATCAGTATTCGCAGTCTAGGGGGGTCAATTGGTCTAGCAATCAACAATGCCGTCTTGCATAATGCCTTGAATAAAGAGTTGCCCAAAAACATTGCAGAGGCAGCTCTGCCACTAGGACTACCTGCTTCGTCTCTTCCTGCACTTATCCAAGGGTTGGCATCCCAGAACAAACAGGCAGTGGCTGCTGTCCCTGGCCTTACACCTGAAATCGCGCAGGCCGCAGTCCTGGGCATGAAGAAAGCGTACTTGATCGCGTTTAGAAACGCATGGATTGTTTCGGCTTCCTTCTGCTCTCTCTTGCTTATATGTAAGTTCAATCTATCTACTCTATTAGAAACTGACTGACCAAAAGAAGCCTGCTTCTTCATCAAAGAACAAGAATCCGAGTTCGATGCAAGCATTGATGCGCCTGTTGAGATTAATTCCAAGACCCTGGAAGTTGATGAGATCGTGCCGCAAAATATGCAGGAGAAGCAGTCCGAGAACAGGGCAGAAGTGAGCCATCAAGAGAACAGTAGCTCTTGAATAATCCCACTCATACCGATTCTCTTGGATATATCATGCAAGTTGTGGAGTACTTAGTTTTCTACATCTATTCATCAACAGGCCATTACTGGAGTACATAGCTTCAATCAGACTCATGATTAACTTTGTCATAATGTTCTCGTTATGGTCAGCTAAAAAGACACTACCAGGTTCCAACCATTCTTAGCCACATGGTCTCCGCTCTTGCACTATCCCGTTTTACTACAGAGGCTTTACCGTGATTATATCGCCTGTGTCCTGCCAGACCAAAGATAAGGTCTACCACAGCCAACAACGTAGCTCAAGCGCTCGGAATGACCTTCTTTTTCGTAGTAGATAACATAGACTAATATCTGTACATGATTCAATTTTTGTTGTGACTTTTACAATAGATTCTTCTATCTTTGTATCATAGCTCATCTGTGCCCTAGCACTTCTTACTTCTATCATAACTGTAGGTAGTTGAGATGTTGATGATCCTCATCAAGAAAGTTGAGAGAAAGCCCACTGTTCCAATCTGATTGAGTGTCTCCTTGCACGTATCTGGGCAAGCCTCTCCCAGCCATATTTGCAAGTTCTGTCATCAAAGTCTGTGCATCTCCCAGTTCAGTCGGCTGAAGAAGTTGCTGCAGCTCACTGTCACTAGAGCTGCTTTCGGTTGACATGCTCTCAGCTGTCAACTCCTCCCCTATGGCGGGCTGGTCGTCTTTCCGATTATTGGGGACACGTGAAGGGAAGAATAACGCAAATCGCTTCTCAAATGAGTTGTCCTTGTCGCGGCGCATCAACGAAGCCTTCAGATCTGTCCCTAGTTAGCATGAAAGGATGTTGGCCAACAGGCGACACGTACTTATTACAATTGAGGCAAGATTCCATACAGTGGCATACTGCGACAAGACCAGACTAACCAGCTCACTGTTATGGTATCCGGTATATGAAGAATCAGCCATATCCTTTGACGGATATGCTCGGTCTGATAACAGACAGCATGCCAGGAAAGGCTGGCATAGAGGGATATAGTCCGGATACCAATGATAGAAGATCCGTGACAAATGACGAGGCGAACGCAATGTCTCTGGATGTTCAGGTTTGAAGGTGGCCTGTATGGTCGTGCGGGTGCAAGTCAACATGAGATGCATGCCAATAATCCAGTTATGTCTTGCCGCATCGCCTGAAGATATCTCTCGCTCTAGGGTCTCCAGGTTGAACCGCTGAGACGTTGCGAGTGAAAAGCACGTAATAGCATCAATGAGATCCTCTTTATCCCGCTGGCAGGTGAACCGACCCGCTGCAAACTCACTCGCGACGCTCAAGAGAATATTGGCTATGAGGAACCATGCTCGCGGGTCCTGATTCGGAGAGTCGAGGAGGAGCTTCCAGACCTCACTGGGCCTTGGGTCGACAATCGGTGACTCAACGGGTTGGTCTGCAAACCATGCCTCATCACTGACCGGAAGCTTGACCATCACCATCGACCGGTTGATCGAACTTGGCCGTCTTGACATGAGGGAACCAAAAGTATCGAGTTCCCAAGTGATCCAAAACGCACGGCGCTGCTCTTCTAGAACTGACCAATCGCTTGATTCATCCTGTTCATCCATACTACACAAGCTTAGGTCGTAGGCTAGTCGGACACAGACGCCCGCAAGGATCCAGGCACGGTGAGATGGGCCGGAAGCATATTCGTAGGCGGCTAGTAGGACGCAGCCTTGCAGATATTCCAGACTTGGTGCTTGGTCGGCTTGACACTTTTCGTAATATGCATTGGCCTTCTCCATAAAGGCCTGTCCACGATCTGGAGCTGGAATGCCATGAAACCAGGGATCTGATGAATGCCTGGCTGCTAGAGCAAACATGCCGCAGAGCAGCAATGCTTCAGTATTGGAGTGGTTTCTGTCATCGCATACGCCGCTCTTCATGAATCGGGCGAAGAATCGCGGCTTGTGAAGAAGCGGAAGCCATCCTTGGGTCTTTGCGAAAAAGATGTGAACAAGTTCGGTCAATACAGGCACCGGTATGCCCAACCAGGTAGGTGCCTCTCCTTCTGTTGAGCGGAAAGTAGATGCTGGTGATGTTGAATCGTCACCGACGATGCTTGTGCCCAAGACGATGATTTCTGACTGTGATTCTTCGGTACTGTCGTCTCTCATAGGCTGATCCTGTTCTCTGTCTAGAGAGTTTGGTGTATGTATATCGTTGACTTTCGGAAGCTGCTCCGTCTGGGACAACAGCATATCGATGTCTTGCCCATCGCCCAACCGTGATTCAAGCAGACTAACGAGACGCTCTGATTCGCACGTCAGTACTCAGCCGTTAGTTCAATGCGTTAACCTGGATTTACCGAGCTTCTGTGAATCGATCTGACTCCCCTGGCGACGTCTCTGAGGCGTCTTTCGCTTTGTTGGAAATGTGCAGGATTGGCCAGTTCTTGTACATAAACCGCAGTTGGGTTTTCTCATGTCGCCTAAACCCTGGTCAACTCGCGTTCGGAAACGGTAAATCGAAGCTTACATCTTGTCTTCTTCCTGTTGAAAAGTGTTAGCGTGCGTAAATCAAGAAGCTGCGTAGAGAGGCTCACATACCGTCTGCATTCGAAACAGGCGCGATGGCCCTTCCACGTCTCAGGTGGAGTCGAACGTTCTGTATTATCTTGTGTCATTTTGAAGCGTATAGAGGCTGCGATCAAAGTATGAGTGTAGCGATGCAACATACGATGAAGTTGAGTTTGGAGCAACCAGGTCGCATCAACGGCTCCCCAGGTTTGTTGTTTGCGGGGGAATGTGGGCACCCGAAGCTCAATCTACCGAACGTTCCGTTGATTGGCTTCAACCGAGGGCCCTTGTTGCACCATGTTCGTTAGTTCCAGTTGTGGGCCCGGTCAAACGCGGTCTTTTCATGTCCGTTGTGATATACGCGTAGGCTCACTAGACGGTTTGCTCAAAGCTGTATTTAATTCCCCATGCGACTATCGCCCACCATAACCAATTCGAGTCTAACAGGTCCCTTAAACTATCCAATATGGCTCCTACTAGTTCGGAAATCCTCGCCAGCGCTCAACCAGATCCCGAGTTTCTTGAAGTAGGTGCCCTCCCCCACCAAAAGTCCGACGACAAGAACAGCACTAACAACGCCCACTAACAGATCCTGAAATCCACCAGTCCTCCGCCGCTTCCGGCCAATGTCGATATACCAACGCTTCGAGCTACATCGAATAAGCACAAAAATGAGGCACGAGACGCGCTAGGAGGCCCTCCTCAGAATTTGACCGAGCGAGATATCGAGATACCTGTTCGTGACGGCAGCAGTATTCTTGCCTATGTTTATTCTCCGTCAGATGTCGTCCCAGGAGATGAGCTTCCTATCTTCTTATTCTTCCATGGCGGTGGCTTTTGTCTAGGCACGCGTCATGATGATATGGAGTCCAACAGGATCTTGGCGGTCAAAGCTGGTATTATAATTGTCTGCCTTGACTACCGTCTTGCTCCGGAATATCCGTTCCCTCAGGCCATTCATGATGGGGTTGACGCTTTGCAATGGGTATGTGATTCTTTCGTGCCAGCAGTTGTTCGTCACGAGACTGACCTTGTGCAGATCGCTCAAAATCCAACACAACTTCACCCTTCCGCATCCCCTTCAGCAGGTCTCATCATCGGAGGCACCTCAGCAGGAGCAAACATCGCTAATGGTGTGGTGTATCTAAACCGCGACCTCGGATCTCCCGCCAAGGTCACTGGGCAGTTTCTCGGCGTCGGACCTCTTCTTCCTCCACCATTCGTTCCCGACAAGTACAAAGACGACTACGTCAGTCACGAGCAGAACAAACACGTGACTATACCTCCCGAAGAACTAGCTCGCGCATTCGTTGGTAAGAAAACCTACGATATTGTGCTGGAGAGAAGCTAAGACATTTACAGCCGCATACAAGCCAGATCCAAACTCGCCGATCGCAGTACCTGCTGTCCATCCATCAGGACACTCAGGAATTCCTCCGACATACTTTCAAGTCTGCGGGCTTGATGGTTTGAGGGACGAGAGTATCATTTACGAGCGGATTCTTGAGCATGATAACATCCCTACGCGACTAGATATGTATCCTGGTCTACCACATCACTTCTGGGAATTCTTCCCTCAATTGACCAAACAGATTGAAAAGAGAACAAATGATACCGTGGAGGGAATTAAATGGTTATTGCAAGGGTCGAAACTCCCAAAATTGTAATACTGATCTGCATGTTTGGAGAACAACATAGTTGTGACTCGGAATTTGTGTTTAGTTATGGCGATTTCCGTCGCAAAGATAATCTCCGGAAAGGTCGGCATTCAGAATATCCATTATTTCCCACTGACCTGTTGATTTCCACTGGTATTCATTTAAACCTTGTTGAGTCTCCATTCTGTAAGCGTTAGTCAGCGACTGTCAGTATGTGTAAGACGCTACTAGCGGCTCTCGTAAGATCCCAAAACTCATTACAATGCAATATCGGTGAAACCTCGCTCTCAATTACAAGGAGCGGCCGCTATTGCCATATATTACCGGACGACAATGTCTGCTTTGAAATATCGCTAGACCCATTCACTGCAAACCCAGCATCATCACATTCTCACGAATCATTGCAATCATTGCAATCATTGCAATCATGAAAGTGTCGAATCGACGAAAGGCACGCGACAGCGGGGATGTCGAAGCCAGGCCCAACTCAGAGCCTTCGAGTCCTCATTACCAAAGCTACAGTCAACCCTTCGCTGGAAGACTCGGTGCCAATCAGGCGTACGTTGTTGAAGGAGGAACATCGGAAGACGACCATTTACTGCATCATGCACCGGATGCCACGCCGCACATGTCTTTCTGGGAGTTGATGGACATGCGTCCGATCAAGAATCTGGATTTATGGAAAGCGGCGCTTATTGAAGGCATCGGTAACTTCACCTTTCAGCCCCGAGATATCAGTACTTAACCGGCGACAGGCACTTTGCTATTTGTGTATATCACGATATGGGTCAATATCTCGCCAGACATAGCGCCCGCTGCTCCAACACAACGTTTCGGGAGCTTTGACAATGCTGCTTTCCTCGGGCCTCTCATTGGCGGTATGACCAACCTAATCTTCATAACGCTCTTCATTACGTCTTTTGGAGCAATTTCCGGTGCTCATTTCAATCCTCTGATCACCTTCGCCACTTTCTGCGCTCGCCTTTGCTCGTTACCGCGTCTGATACTCTACGTCGCAGCTCAGATCGGCGGCGGCGCCCTGGCAGGTTTGTTGGTCAGAGCAAGCTGGGGAGGCCGAGACTTCAAAGTTGGCGGTTGCTGGCTGTTTACGGATATCGTCCCGCCAAGGGAGATATTTGTCGTCGAGCTAATGTCAGCTACCCTTCTCCTGTTTCTTGCTTTTGGCGTTGGTCTGGACCCGCGACAAGCCAAGATCATAGGCCCAGCGCTGGGACCTTTCATGGTAGGATTGAGTGTCGGGACTATGAGCTTTGCTAGCGCTTTCGCGCGATATGGATATGGCGGTGCTGGGCTAAATCCAGCGAGATGTATGGGGGCTTTCGTTGGAAGTAGCTTCCCAGATTGGCATTGGATACACTGGGTTGCTGATTGGACTGCCTGTATTATTCACGGCGTATGCTATTATTTCATTCCGCCTTGGACAGAAGTTCGTCAATGAGAGCTTCTAACATACCTTGCCGCCTGTGAAGGAATATATTTGATTAGCCAGACATGGGAAACAGCTTTTGATGAGAGCATGTCGCGTATTACACCATCGAGGTGGGGGTAGGCTGCTGAATCTGCTGTATGTATCTAATTATAGCAAGCAAAGCCTGCGGCTACTTTAAAGGTAAAGAGTAATAATAAAGAAAAGATTATATAAAATAAAATCTTCTAATACTCTTAATTATAAGCTAAGTACAAATAGCTAATTAGGTTTGATTAAGATAAGGTCTTTATTATAAAATAAAGAATTAAATAATTAATTCTATAATACTAGATATAAAGAAAAAGAGTAAAAATTATATATAACGAAAAGCATATTAAAGCTAAAGTCCTCCAGGGAATCTATCCCTTTATATCTATTATTATAGACATCTATCTGACCCCACTAACAAAGCTTAGACCTCTTACCCTGGAATGCTTGCCACAACCGTCACACTACTACCTAGTTTTAGTGTGTGTGAGCGGCACTCTTGACATTGCCAATGCTGATGCAGTTGACAAGTAGGATGTTTCCACAAGCCATTCCAGCAATCTTTATGTTTCTATCAGATATCCTTCATTGGAAGAGGTCGAGGAACGCTCTAGGATAGATCCAAGAAGTGGCATATATTATTAAATATCCTTTGGTATCCCGTATGCCCTACACGAATAAAAACCATCTTCAGTGTCGTTTGATTTGTGACCTCAGCTGCATATGATGAATCGCTTTAACCTCCCCACCATTCTTCAGCTCTTCATCTTCAATCATCTGATCAAACATCACCCGATCCGCTAACTTTGATTCAGTGGCAGCTTCATGGCTCAAAGAGTCCAGAAGAGCATGAGGTTCTGTCCAAGAAGATCCAAAGTCTACCAAACGTCCATCACGGAAGTTATCGATGCGTATGTCCATGTTATATATCCCCGCTTTGTTCATTGAGACGACCTTACCTAAAATCTTCCTCATACTCGTCGAGGTGATACCGCTTTTTGAAGACGCAACACCTTTGACGATAGCTCTGGCTCTTAGCCCCCCGATCGTGGACCTTTGATAATCGATGTCGACTGAATCCAGTCCGAGGTCAATATTACGATTCTGTAAAGCTTCCTGGTCTTTTGATTCAAGGAACAAGAATCCGTGACTGGCAACAGCCACATCTGATTTGAGAATCTTTCCATCGGTAGCTTCGCGTATCCGACCATATGCTCGGCATTCTGCGTAAAATGGATCGGTATAGTATGCAGCAGTGTCAAGAGATGTGTCTTCACCTAATAGTGGCCCCCAGAAGTACTCGGTACTCATAGGGTCAAAGAACTTGAACTATCATTTAAGCCGTTATCAGAAAAGAACACCTTCTGGGAAGGAGAGAAGTAGTAAAGGATCTTGATCGTCACATACGACTTTCACTGCGTACTCGCGACCTCGGATGAGAGCCCGGAATACATAGCCTTGGCTTGAGGTCACGTCGCCATCTCCATCAAGTCTCTCAAGCCATTGAATGCGCGATTTATGATACGGAAAGATATTGAGCTTTGGCCCGTCGCACGGTGGTAGCTTCTGAGGAAAGGATAAAACACGTCGTTTTCTCGGCATACTGGAGGAGCTAGAGGGAAGATGACGAGGTGTTTGTGATAAATATGGGCATACCATTAGCTCTCGACCTCTGGCATCCTTATACCCAGCGGTCATCATCCGTATGCGCGTCGGGCCGCTTTTAGCGATAATCAGGTTTTCTTGCAGCATTGCAGCATCTGTGGAGGGGTCGCGTGGTCTGTGAATGGCTAACGTGGGTGGCAATGCTGCAGAGATATCACCAACATCAATATGCAGACTTCAGCTCCGAGGTGGGGGAATGAACAAGATGGAATGAACTGAAATTTCCACAGCCTGATCTGGCCGTCTGGACACTTTAAAAGCGTGGAATATGCCCATCAATGAGAATGAACAGACTCTGTTCAAGCATGGTGCATTACGGCATTCCAGCTGTGCCACGTATAGCAATCACATCATCCCTGCTTGTCTCACATCAAGATGGCCCTGTCGTCCCCTGCGACGTCCATACTTGAGCTACTTACGCACCCAAATCCATCCGTCAGCCATCAAATACCTAAGAGCAAGACAAACTCTCGAAGTCCCCACTATCACTGGCCTAGACAAATAAAGAGATGGGAAGAACTCGAAGATGTTAATATTTTAAAAAATGTCTTTGGTGGAGTTTTGCTGAAAGAGGCATGTCGCAGAGGCCGAACTCTTGACCCATACCCCAGAGTTCACTCACAGGCTGACTGCGTCATACGTAATGAGGATGATACCAGAGATCTAATCAACAAGTGGAACAAATCGATTGTTACTGCCGCCCTTGATCCCATTCAGGATCTTTTCCATCCAGTCATCTGGCGCAAAGGGGATCCCCCATCAGGCAAAGAGGCATTTCTCCCTCCTCCCCAAGAGCACGGAAAGCAGCGCCATCAGCCAGTACGCAAACAGTCTTCGAAGACGACACATACAAGATTACAATCATTGTCAAGATTGAAACCAGATTCTGGGTCTATTGCACCGATCCCGATCTTATCTAAAGCTGGGAATACAACCATCTCTACTTGTCAGGAGAGATTTCCAAAAGAGTACAAGATCTCCACAAAATGGAAGAGTGAACGTATTTTCAAAGGCGGACTTCTCGATGATTCTGGGAGCTTCATTAAAGGAAAGACATCTGATAATTCTGCTTGGCCTATTAGACAGGCCTACACTTATTGCATTCAGCATATGTGCCGATATGGATGTATCTTGACTGCTGAGGAAGCTTTCATATTTCGCATCATGCCGCGAGAGGACAAATCCAGTGAGTCTTCTTCTAATCACAGCTGTTCAATCTTTCATAGGCTGACGAGGCTAGACAACAATTCACAAAACATTAACTTGCTAAGAAACGAGCTCATCAATAATGGGCTTATGGAATATGTCTCCATTCCCTGGGGAAACTACAGTCAAGGTCAGAGACGATCCCTCGACGTCTGGACCGTTAACCTAGCACTTTGGTTTATGCACATCCTAGCGGGAAATAATTTTGAGGTTGAGTGGAGTTATGCTGATCTGACAGCTGAGACCTTGGTCGCTGCTCAGCCGGTGGACGCTGATGATCAGCCAAAAGCAATTTCTTCTAGTACGGCGCACTCCGATAATGATGGACAGCATGTAGGGGGAGAAGATGAAAACGGATCAGTTACTTCGGAAGAGACTGAAATCTTGTACTCGTCTACTACAAAGCGAAAGCGGGACTCAGACGATGACAGCGACTTTGAGGGCATTCATCTTTCATTTAACAAGCGTCAATTCGTATAGTTGAGGCACAGGGCTCACTAGAGGTGAGTTTCTGGTACACATGTAAGGACACAGAACATGTACTCAATAAGGCTGAACATACAAACACTATCACTATCACTAGTAGGACGATTCACTATCTCTCAACACGCTCTAGTAGAACTCCACAAACTCCTTCTTACTTATTTCCTTCATGTTGGTTCATTTGTCGTTGATTTCCACCAGGATCTTGACTTGGTTATCCTTGTCCGTTATCAACGCATTGATACCATCCTCGACAATATTCTCCATCTTGATCTTTCTGGTGATCATCTGGCTAGGCTTAATTGCACCAGAAGCGAGGTTATCGATGACCGCTTGGAAGTCTTCCCGTTGGTACCCCAAGACAGATTTGTAGGCACTCTCCTTGAAGGTCAGCCAATTAGGGTTGAAAGGTATCTCCTTCTCCCAGATTGCGATGTTTACTACAGTGCCTCTTGTTCTGACGACTTCACAAGCACCCTTGACACTATTCACTGTCAGTATCTTCACAGAGTCTGGTGAAAGAAAACTCACCTCGCTGGTACACCGGCGCAATCGAAAACAACATCAGCACCCAAACCACCAGTCAAGCCAAGAACGATCTCGTTGAGGTCCACTTTGATCGGGTTCACAACCTTGGTGGCACCAAACTGCCTCGCAAACTCCTGTCTCGAGGCGGCAACTTCGGAAACAATAATCTCACTAACGCCCTTGGCCTTCAAGCACAAAATCATCGCCAGACCGATCGGCCCACCGCCCAAAATTGCAACCTTGGACTTCTCGTTGATTTCCGGCGCCGCAGACATAGCATGCCACGCTACAGAAAGCGGCTCGACAAGTGCTCCGATCTCGAGGGGCAGGTCTTTTGGAAGCGCAAAGACGTGCGTCGCGTTCACACAGACTGACTCGGAAAGACCGCCGCCACCGCCAGAGAGGCCGAGGAATCCACCGGTATGGCAGACGTTCTCGGCGCTGGTGTGGCATGCAGCGCAGTGGCCGCAGAAGAGGGTTGGCTGAACTGCGCAGGGCTGACCTACTTCGAAGCCGGTTACGCCAGGGCCAACTTCGGAGATGATTCCTGAGAATTCATGGCCAAGTGTTACAGGAATACTTTCTGATGTGAGAGGGTGAGGCTTGGTTGGGCAAAAGTTTGGTCCTCCAAGATATTCGTGCAGATCTGGTACCTGTTAGCATTTGGCTGGGCTTCAGACTGCTCTCCTTGCCTGTGCCGCAGATTCCAACAAATTTAGGAGCAACCTGTTTCTATTAGCATCTATATCTGAGTGTGTCTTAGTGAGAGGTACTGGCCTTGACTTGTCCGGGCTGCACTAGAGGCTCAGGGACCTGCTCGACACGAATGTCCTTGATACCGTAATACCTCGCAGCTCTCATCGTAGCGTAGAAAGACCGATTGATGTTCCTGGATACAGGCCCACGGAATCGTTGGTTAAAAAGTTTTGTCAATGAAGTTACTGGTAGTTTCATAATCTCTAAATTTCTCTTTTCCTTTCGTCAAGAGACGGCGATCAGCAGCCTCTTTATATAACTCCCAGGTTTAAGTTCACGTACGATCAAGTCAGTTCACTGCCCCACCATCCGACATGGGGGATCCGCATCACGAGTTCCGCAATGCAGCCGCAAGTTCAAATCTCACTTTTCATGCATCAAAATACATCGTTTCAATTCGTCTTCTTTCCTTAATGTAACGGCTTTGAGACTTCAAATGTGGGGGAATGGATGATCTTACTTGTTTTGGCCTCCTTTGGACCTTTCCCCGGATTCAAGAGAGACAGGAAATGGCTAGCGGGGTCTGGAGCCGATCGTGCGCTATGTCGGAGCCGATCGAAGTGAGTCGGGCGTAGAAGAAGGAAGACGGCAGTTTGTGGATGCGAATCAGGTGGGAATGCCATGCTTCTAATTCGCTCTCTTCAGATGATGGACTTGTCAAGATGGCTTGGCACAATGTTTGTCTCACAATCCTTTGGGCGCCCTATTGTTTGCGCACTAATTCGCTACGCGTCGCGTTAATTGACAGGTAAAGCTCCATCTTAACGAGGTACACGCCGCGTATCCCAAGGAGACTCCTAAGATTCTAGGTATGTACAGCCATAAAATTAGGCACGATTCTCGAAATTGAATTCCGTGATAAAGCCGATCTCGCAGGCGAAAATGGGGATATGGCTCGTTTCCGCCTCACTGCGTCTTGGCTACGGTGGAGTCTCCTGTCAAAATGAATGTGCAGTGGTGTGACACGGGACCCGTCAATATCTCTTTACCGAGCTGTCAGATAACGGTCTTTGATAAGCGATTGACATCAGGACATGATCTTTAGATGAGGCTGATCTTGTCGCTCGCCTGAGCATCCCTGGGTTTTCTTGAACATGAACTGAGAAGCAAGTCTGAGTGTCAGACGAGACTGCAAAACGACATAATGTTGCTACCATTCGTTGATGGACTCTCTTGTAGAATTGAGTTTTACACAAGAATTATAAGCATAAAAGTTATCTATATAAGAGTAGTTAATTGAGGTCTCATTTAAAACCAACAGGCAGTGCACCGTTAAGTTATTTGTGAAAGTTCTTAGTCAGCGTGACATATTTTTCCTTCCGATCACTTATCTTTCCAGCCAACGTCCAACCCATCTAGTCAATACAACTATTTCGAGATTCAGACTTCAGAGAATAATACGTGAGAAGCCCATCGAGTTGACAGATTCTGGTGATTGATGTAAAGCGTGTTGAAACCGAACATGCTCATGACAATGCCCCTACCCTGCACTGGGGCGATTGATGGAGGGTCTTGGAGGGCGACTCCAACTCACCCCACAGGTTGGAGTAACTCCACTCGAGAGATAAGATAACATCGATAACGATAACGTTGGAGCTTAGCGTCAGCGGCATCACAGCACGTACGTTACTCTGTAACTATGAGATAAGAACTACGCCGGTATCACCACGTTCAGAGTCCCCCCAAGTCCAATCTAGAGCTTTTCTAACCTGCTATTAACGTACTCTCACAGTTGACTAACAAATATGTCGATCTTCAACGGCGTTGCACTCGTGACTGGGGCTGCCTCGGGTAAGGACCCTGTAACCTTTGTCGTATTCAGCTAACTCGTTGTAAGGTATCGGACGCGAGACAGCTTTATCCTTTGCACGAGAAGGATGTAAGAAAATTGTTATAGTTGACCGTGATGCAAAAAAGCTCGACGACACAGAATTGGCCATTAAAGAGACCTTCCGGGATGTCCAGGTCCTCGCTGTACCAACAGATATCTCCAAAGAGGAAGACATTGAGAACCTATATAGTGAAACTATCAAAGCATTCGGCAGAGTAGACTATGTTGTCAATGGTGCTGGTAAGAGTTGTGTTGATATTGAAGAGTGGCTTGTCAACGACTGATCGTATCATAGGCGTGTTGAGCAACAACAAGAGGTCTCATGAGTCTTCCGTTGAGGAATTCGATATGATCAATAATGTCAACTACCGCGGATGTTGGCTATCCTCTCGCGCTGCTATTAAATGTATGCTCAAGCAAGACCCTCTCCCTACGCATGATGGAAGACCTGGTGTTCGAGGAAGCATTGTCAATATCGCCTCACAATTGGGAGTGGTTGGTCGGCCAGCAGCACGTAAGTGAGAATATATAAGCTCATGTCGGAGTTTTGTGCTAATACTTGTCAATGATAGCGGCCTACTGCGGTAGTAAAGCAGCCGTAATTAGCATGACAAGATGCGATGCTATTGATGTATGTTCCTCGCCGTCATAATATTTGGTAAAGTTACTGACTTGTGTAGTACTCCAAAGATCTGATTCGTGTCAACGCCGTTTGTCCTGGTCTCATTGACACAGCGATGACCCGACCTCAAGCTGATGTCTTGAGTCCCGCAATCAACATCGCTCCGATGGGACGAATGGGTAGCCCGCAGGAAGTGGCTGATTGCATATTGTTTCTTGCCAGTAGTAAGGCTAGCTTTGTACAGGGATCTGCGATGATGGTTGATGGTGGATATGTCATTAATTAGTTGTAGCTGTCGCTGTAATAGAATTCTCTTTCAATGAACTGTTCGAGGTTCAATTATATTCTCCAACAACGAAGCAATCCCTCAACCAATCAGAAATCGTTCGGGCGAATGGTTTAGTGGTATAATACTCCCTTAGCATGATTCATCAGAATAATCTGGGAGTGGTCCAGGGTTCGATTCCCTGTTCGTCCAACTTCAGTGGTTAGATTCCACTTGTACCATCTTTTTGTCCTTTGTCGCTCTGGTCCGACCAGCTTTTTGGGGCAATTCATGTTAGCTTTGGCAATGTCTTTGAGTCCCTGGGCATTTCATGAAGTAATGGTTTGCAGACCGAAAGTAGATACCTTATGTATTGGCCTCCAACTCCATTTTGGTCGTAGCGACCCCATTCATCTCCACTACCTATGTCATGATGTTGCAGTCCACCAATCATCGCTACCAATTCTTCGTCGGCGTTGACGAGATGGGTCGGGATAGCACCAGTGAAACCTCATAACGTAGTTTGAGACGTGATTTCAAATCATCTCCACCAGCAGTAGCTTCTAGACTTCGTGCTCCCTTCAACAAGTAAATAAGTTTGTACCCAGCACCCTGGCAATCAGCAGCCATATCAACGAATCGCTCTATGTAAGAAAGTTACAGGGTCTCAAATCTCAGAACATCCAATATTCAACATGTCTTCTATCAAGCCCCTCATCCTACACGCCCATACCACCGGCCCCAACCCTTTCAAGGTGGCCATCCTCCTTGAGGCTCTCAACATCCCATACGCCGTCAAGCTCTGGCAGTTTGGAGATGCACCCAATGGTGTCAAGGGTGAACGCTTCCTCAAGATCAACCCCAATGGCCGCGTTCCAGCTTTGGAAGATCCCAATACGAATGTAACCAGCTGGGAATCTCTTGCATGCATGAACTACATCCTCCGCGTCTATGATACCGAGAACAAGTTTGGTGCACGACAGGAAGCTGGTGAACAAGGACGAGCTGATGTCGACGCGTGGACCAGCTTCCTTGTTAGCACTCTTGGGCCATTCTTAGGTAAGCTAACTTTCCAAGAACCCTCGCTACTATCTCTCTACGAGATATATCTAGGCAACACGTCGAAACTAACAACTAGTAGGTCAGTGTAATTGGTTTCGTCATTATAACAACGTCAAGAATGAGAATGCATATGAGAGATATCAAGCCCAGGCCTATCGATGCTTTGGAGTTTTGGAGGAGCAGCTGAAGAAACACGGTGGAGACTGGGTCTTGGCCGGGGATAGGCCGAATGTCGTTGACTTTCACTTTGAGCCTTGGATGAGACAGTATGAGTATGCTGGTTTGAGTTTGAATGATTATCCAAAGGTGAAGGCGTGGTTGGATCGTGTCCAGGCGTTGCCTGAGGTGAAGCGAGCGTATGAGAAGATCAAGGCTGGGGAGGAGGTTTAAACACAACAAGTGTAAAGCGAGATACTTAGATTTGTCGAAATACAACCCAATTGTTACGATCTCACGGAAAAATGCCACCACAGATTGTCGACTGTGACGATATCATTGACGGGGTCATCATGCGTAGCGCATATCTTGGCGATTGCTTTATAGTGACGGACTTGGAAAGCAAGAGTGCATAGTTGACAGCTTTGGAGGGGCTGGAAGCAGAAAGTTTGGTCTATACAAGTTTGAAAGAGTGGAGGTATAACCATCACTTGTTCTCTTGTGACGACCGCGTATATGGATTCATCATCACCGTCCTCCAGATTTAACGAAGTTGTCACGAGCGAGCGATAGAAACTTTCAGCCACATGTCTCAGCCGCAAATTGCCCTTCTGATAGACACTTTCAATTAGCAAAGCCGCGGAATTGGCCCTCCTGATGTCGACCTAAGACATTTATGGCATTGAGTCATTTCTCAGGAGCTTTTGCCCCTGGCGCTATAAAAATTTTGGTAGCGCAAGTTTATGGTTGCATGTGCGTCCGTCAGCCACTGGAACCTGTTGCCTATCTCAGAAGGTGGTTGGTTGGTGCTTCTAGCTGAAAAGAGATGATGGCTTGCGAGATAGGGGGACACGGAGCTTATCAAGCGCATCCTAACCACATTGAGATTACGGCGTGCTTGAATTGATTGCCTCCTTCGCCTGTACGTCCACACACAATCCAAGCCACGTCCGGATTTGCAGAGGAGGTACAGTAGGCATGTATGCGCTGATCAATGCCGTGTCGTACTGCTGTTCCAGCCAGTTATGCACAGCAGTTCAAGCGCGCCACACTTGCAGTTCTTCTCACCACAAATCGCACATGCTGTTTCAAGAATCCATGTTCATCTTCCTGGCATTGGCGCCAAGTCGATCCGTCAGGATCAGCAAGCGGGCCGAAATCTACGGTCCCACTCGGATTTGACGTTTTGGTATGCAATGGCTATCGATACGTTGTACATCTTACGGACAGACTCCTTTCAAGGCTCTTGTCAAAGCTATAGGTACCAATTACCAGATTTATCTTCTGTTGCGGTACAATACTTTGACAGGTATGCAGCCGAGGTCTATTTCAGAGGAGGGACTTGTCGAATGCTGTTATCGGATCACTCCGAGCAAGCATGTGCCACGCCATCAAAGCGCTCAGACATGTACAACCCCATCGAGAATAGTGCCGAGTTCTAGCTAAGCCAAGCTTTAAACTCTAAAGTCTAGTGGTTGGTTTCAGTGAAAAGTTAAAAGCTAAATGTGCTGCCGTCCGCCAGCGGAATTTTCCTTCTTCATTTACCCATGTCCCCTTCCTGTCGCATCTCTGTTCGGCGGTAGAACCGAGGCTGTGGCCGCCAGCCAAGCATCAATGAATATCAATACTTCTATTGTAGGTTTGTCGAACACATACTACTCAGATTACTTAGGTTAACATTCCTTGGTACTAACTGAACTTGCGTAGGCTATACAAGCAGTACTGCTTGTTTTGGCATTAGCTGTCCTTGTTCTACGAACCTGGGCGCATTACCTCCTTAAGCAGAACTTACTCAACCTGTCCGATATCTTTGCATGGCTAGGATGGGTCTTCAGCTTAGGATGGTTCATCTGCTCAACACTCGCGCTCCAAATCCTCATCGATAACCCCGCGGTCGGAGCAGAACTCGTAGTTAACTCGGTTGAGTACTTGAAAGTATGACGACACAGCGACTGTGAATGGGAAATCATGATGCTGATAAACTTTCTTATAGACTGTACTGGTAGCTGAGTACTTCTTTGATACTGGGATTTACTTTCCCAAGATATCCATTGTTCTCTTCTACTGGACTTTAATTCCCAGGGTTCTGGAAACCTTGAGAAGAGCATTACTCGGAATCTCGATTTATCTCGGTTGCGCTCTGCTTGCATCGGTTCTTACGAACACTCTCATATGCCTGCCATTCTCCGATAATTGGTTAGTCCAATTGTAGTCTTGCCAAAGCTCATGAACTGACTGGCATCATCAGGTCTATCGAGAATCAGCTAAAGTCAGCGTGGAACTCATATCCTTCCTTCTGTATCCAGTGGGCTCTCAACTTTTCGACGGATTTGCTAAGTATGTTTCGAATGCCTCGTTTACTTTTACGTTTCTAATATGGGCTCAGTATTTATCTATCCATTCTTCCTGCTGAAGCACTTGAGATTGCGAAAAGAACAAAAGATTGGTCTCATTGGCGTCTTTTCCTTGGGAACCATCACATTGATAGTCAGCCTTTCCCGGTTCATCGCGTACAATGTGACCGATTTTGAGCTCGAAGACGAAGCCGGCAGTACGTTCTGACACCAAAGCCCTCTTTCACATGCACAAGCTGACCTAGTGCATAGATACCTTATCTCTCGCCGAAATGAGTACCGCCGTTATAGTCGTTTGTCTCCCGGGCCTTCGAACATTCATCGTACGGTCGAAAAAGTCTACAAATCGCTCGTCTTCACACCAGCTCAGCGGCTACGGCAACCACACACGGATCGGAGTAGGACAAACATCCAAGACAGGCACACATAAAGGACAAGCCCCGCCATCGTCGTATGCGAAATGGGGCGTTAGAGATGACGAGATCGAGTTGGTAACTCATATACGCGTTTCCCACGAACTGGCGAATCCAGACGCTTGCAGCGCGAGCGAACAAAGCGCAACGAGTCGGAATTTGGGATTGTGATCTTCACAATAGAGTTTGGCGTTGGAGGAACTAGATACATGATTTATGAAATAAGAGGTATTGGGATTCAACAGCATAAATGCACGTGCTATCACACTGGAGGCTTCACAAACGATAGCAATTACATATTGGATAAACGAACAGAGTATGATATCATTTGGCATCTCTTTGAGAGACCGCGAAGCCTGAAAGTTCCATATTAGACGGAAGATAGGCTCCAATGGTTAGCTCAGAAGTCAGGCCCCTACCGAGAATAATACTCTACTGACTAATATAAAGAACCTGCCGCCCCTACACCAAGACTACCGAATGCATCTGGGGCCTAACGAACATTAGATCAGACCATCTCCAGCGGCTTGTCCCCTGCCCTCCAGTCATCCTGTGTATTGCCACGCTTGGTGCGATAGGCGGATTGCCCAAAGGGCACCTGTAATCACCGTTTGCTCTATTCCAGCAATATTGAAATACTTCTGCCATGGAAATGGGGGGGCAATGGGCTAATAAGCTTGAATTTAAAACTGTATACTAGGCTTGAGTCATAAGAATCTACCTATCATTGTTCTCACAACTGAAGGCTCCTCCAATAAGTCCCTGTGAATAAGCATCGATGATGTTTTGAATAACACCATAAGTTCCACCAATAGTCAAGAACACAGAAAGCGCAATCATCAACCAGTTCAGATAGTAAACAATAACCTGCCACATCTTTCCCTTTCGATAGTGCTGGTGATCGTACACCCAAAGATATCCAGGCAGACCGAGTGCGAGAGGTGAAAAGGTTAGACTTCCTGCGAGAGCCAGGAGGTAGTTGAAGATGGGGATTCCAGAAGCGAGGAGGAACGAAACAGCCGACATGGCAGTAGTGCATCCCAGCCAAACTGCCCAGTGGACCACGGTGTTCTTCTGGAAGTGCTCTGAGTGTCGAAGGAGTCGAACGAAGAGGTACTTAGCTGCGACGTGGACATACAGACAGGCACTGACAAGGAGACCAGTGAGGCCAATGCCATAAGCGACCTTCTTGATGGTTGGGCCTGCACTTCCTAGAGATGGCGAAGCAACCCATTGACCGCAATACTTGTAGACGACAAGCGAGAAAGTGAGGTATGAAGCAGTGACGATACCCATGCAGAGGTAGACGGCCTTGTTGTAGTCTCGAGGTCGGCGCATCTCAGAGATGACTGGCAGAAAGGCGGAAGTTCCAGCACCACTGCAGAAGATTGTAGAGACTGACGTGATGGCCGCAACAAAAGTGGGATGGCCGATAACATGGTAGCCGAAGTCGTAGTCTCCGGTTTGAGGAGCAGCAGCTGGTCGATCGAGGGTTGTAACGCCGACGCTAAGAAATGTCAGAGGGAAAAAAAGAATAAGGGATGTGAGAGACTTACACGACGATGAAAACAGCGACGTAAACTGTCAAAAAACCAGCCCAGGTGAGCCAAGCAATGTTCTCAAACTTGCGGACACTAGCAAGAATAAGAACAGCAATGGTCGCCACTAACATGAACCAATTGGTACAGATAGCATGGTTGCTAAGAACGTTAAGCGCAACAGAGGTACCGAAGATTCCTGACGCGCCCACAATCGCATATGTGACGAGGAACAAAACTCCAACGACCTCTGAAACGGTGACTATTAGTCTTTGTGCATATAATACAGTCAGGCTTTCTTACCCTTTAGCCAAGTGCCGCCAACTACATTCGCCATATCGGCGATACTGTGGCAGCCAGCGTGTCTGTTTCGGAAGTTTCCTTGGACAATGGCACAGTAGGTGTTGAGACCTTGCCACCCAAGGACATTAATGGCGCCAGGGAGAGCACCAAGGACGAACATGGCACTCGGGATTGTAAGGACGCCAGTTGCGAAAATGACTTGAAGAGTTAGCTTGAGATTCAAAGACATGTTAGAACCACTTACCCTTCAGAAAGATGACAGAGGCCTGAATCCACCCGACAGTGCGGAAGTCAACCTTTCCAGGAATTTTCTGAAAGACCTCTCCATCATCAACTCCTTCCTGTCTTCCAAGCTCAATGCTTCCATTGCTGAGCATACCACCAGACTGCTTCTCGCCTTTCTCTCCTTCAGAAGAACTCATATTGGTCGAAGTAATTTTCATAAGAGATTGATGAAGAAACAAGATTGATGATGCAGGACTCAAAAACGGTGGGATCGACCTGTCTATTATCACTTGTCGATCAACACCGGCAGTCCTCGCCAAGCTCAACTTTATCAAGAACCCAGCAATGTCTCCTTGTGGATGCTTCATCAAAGTCCAATGATAAGGTCTGGGGTAAAAACAGCCCCCGTAAAACTCTGGGGAAGATCCTGACTCGTAGAGTGATAAGAGAGTTGGAGCATAGCGTTGGAGTTGGAGACTAGCGTGAGATTAGTTCTGGGGTGAATGATACCCCATGATAGAGTAGTGGCTGATAAGCGTCATTACCCCTCTATTAGTTATCGGTATTGGCGAATCTTTGGGTTGGAGACGCGGGGAGACTGCCGCATGCGTGATTCTTGAGGGTCCAGATTCTAGAATCTTGACGTATTTCTAGCCACAGCTATCTGAACCCTTGACTTCCTAGAGGTTTTTCACATCACTATTACACTGCATATCGTGTTCAAGTCCTGAACCGATCCCCACTCCTTTCCATTGTCACCAAAACAAACGCCACCATGCCTAAGCGTATTCTATGCTCGTACGGTGTTGATGTTGACGCCGTCGCTGGATGGCTCGGCTCCTATGGAGGTGAAGACTCACCCAGCGATATCTCCCGTGGCTTGTTCGCAGGAACACATGGAACTCGCCGAATGTTGAAGCTGTTCGACAAGTACAACATCAAGGCGACATGGTTCATCCCCGGGCACAGTCTCGAGACTTTCCCCGAAGAATGCGCAATGGTCCGTGATGCTGGGCATGAAATAGGGCTCCATGGTTCGTGATATGACTATCTAGCATTAACCCCTGCAACTAACGACGATCCGATAGGTTACTCTCATGAGAATCCTTCCGACATGACACTAGAGCAACAACGTGATGTCTTGGAAAAGACTCACAAGATGCTTACAGAGTTCTGCGGCAAGCCTCCTCGCGGAAGCGTCGCCCCTTGGTGGGAGACTAGTAAGGAGGGCGTCGATCTGATGCTGAGCTATGGCATCGAGTATGATCACTCAATGTCTCATGACGATTGCCATATGTACTGGCTACGCACTAATGATAGCTGGACCAAGATCGACTATAAGCAAAAGGCTGAGACTTGGATGAAGCCATTGGTAAAGGGGCAGGATACAGGACTTGTTGAGATCCCAGCAAACTGGTATTTAGATGAGGTGAGTCTTTCCAGTAATTAATACGAGATTTGACAGCTAACGTTTATCACAGTATGTTCATGTAGTATTTTAGAATGCGACTGTGACTGACCCTGATACTTTGATAGCCTTCCTCCCATGATGTTCATCAAAGACGCCCCCAACAGCCACGGCTGGGTCAACTCTCGAGATGTTGAAGATCTGTGGCGAGACCACTTTGACTATTTCTACCGCGAATACGCCGATGATCCCGATGAGATCTGCGTGTTTCCTCTTACAGTTCATCCGGATGTTTCCGGTCGGCCGCATGCTCTGCTGATGCACGAGAGGTAAACGACAAAGTCTTCCAGGTGAAGTTCAAGCTGACAGTAGACAGGTTGATTGAGTACATCAACAAGCATGAAGGTGTTGAGTGGGTGACGATGGAGCAGATGTGTGATGAGTTCAAGAAGAAGAATAAGCCCCCAAAGGGAGCTGTTATGCCCAAGGCTCAGGAACAGAAGTAGGGTATTATTGGTAGTCATGAATAAAGCGTTTCTAGAGCCTATGTTGTCAGGTGAAGACATCAGCCGATGTTCTTGTGAACAAGTATTTCCCGATACTTTTCCAACCCAACACCTATGATGTTGATGAAAGGCCATTGGGTGTTACTCTTGAAGAAATGTGCCCATATCTTCAAAACTGCCAGGCATAGGTTGCTTGGATCTCGGAAGTCCAGAAGAGTTGGGTTATCCGTGTCAGCGCCTTGATCAAAGTCGACGACCGTGTATGCCTCCTCGACGATGCATCTGACCCAGTGCAAGATCCTGTCTTCGCTATCTGAGATATCTGTTAGGACCAAGTATTCGGGCTTTCAATCAAAAGCAGACTTACCACTCAGCGGGTGTTCGGCAAGTGTTTCCCCAAGTTTTGACAGCCATTTGCTCAATAGTACAGCGCAGTCCAGACCAGAGAGCGAGTGCCTCACACTCCAGAAGAAGGCTTGACTTCTTGCAACACGGTCAACGCCCAAGCGGACCGGGATTCCAATCATGTGAGCCGAGTAGAGGAGTGCGGCAATCACGCCGTCACTCCTCTCGATATCGGGGCTGCCTGCGATGGCATTGGCGATACATTGCGGATCCCGTGTCTCGAGTTGTCTGTATGGACCCAAGTGCAGATATATGCGCACATATGCTAATGACAGAAGAGAGCTGGAAGTAAAAGGGATCGGTCCGTTCTCGTTGTTCGGGTCGAGGGTTGACTCTGGGGCTTGTTGCCAGCACGAAGTCCACGAGCGCAAACCTCGTTCGAGTTTCTCAACCTCTTCGCTCGGAAGGACAGCCGAGCTGCTGGTCACCGGAAGGCTCAGATCTCGTACGATGTGTATTCTCTGAAGTAGGCCATGGAGCAGGACATAATTGCCTAGTGGCGTAGGAATTGGCAATAGTGGCGCTGTGTCATTCTTGTTCTTAAGCAGCAATGACAACGCTTCTCGGAAGAACAACTGTGGCTCTTGGATCTCTTTTGTTGCAGTACGCCACAAGGCTGAAGTTGGCGCTTTCCACTCCTTTGTAGAGCATGGTAGTCGGAGACCAATCTCGTTACTACGGAGTGTTGGATAGACGTTGTAAGCGATACTGTGGGTATGAAGGAAGGAAAAGCCGATGAGCTTTGAGCGCCTGTTCGACTCTTGCTTGATCCACGTCTTCCATTCGTGCCAGAGTGAGTTGCCGTCGCTTGGTTGATCTGATGGTGTTGGCAATGCGGGCTCATCGACGTCCTCAAGGCCAGAGTTTCGAAGGACCTGAGTGAGAATGCCCTGCAATGCGAAGGACTCCTGGACCATTGATGCTTTGGGTTCCCATGTTGCGAAGCCCATGAGCGTGATCAAAGCTCTGATAGTTTCGACCGCTGCATCGTTTCCAGCATCCCTCCGACGACCATTATGTGGCACGGCATGCGGTATAGGAACTGAGGACACACCAAATGAGTCTGCGTCCCTTCTCAGTCTCTCCATCAGTAGAGCCTTTCCAGCGAAGAACAATCTCTCTGAGGCTCTCGACTCGAAACAGTACTGCGCTCCGATGGCGGCGATGCCGAAGATCAACTCAGGTGAGTGATCGTTGATCTGCCATGTTGGTATGTGAATGAACGGCATATGGGTATGAAAGCCGCCAAAGAAAGAGGTCACATAACGCGTGAGAGCGTGCCTCGATGGGACACAAAAGGCTGGGTCCAGGAGATGCGAGTGGTCAAGGATAGATGCTTTGAGTTTCGATCTTTGCTCTTCGGTGACTTTGAACGGTCGTGTTTCAGGGTCAATAGCCCTTGGATCTGTCCGTGTGAATGATCACGTCTATCAAGGTCTGAAGCCAAGACTTACTGTCGGTGTCAGAGACATAATTGGATATCCGATTACCCGTAGGTGCAGAAGGAAGCCATGAGCTGAAAGGGGTCCCAGCTCGGGTTGGAGCTCCTTGCCGGGGAGAGGTCTCTTCATTATCGTCTTGCGTAAGCCCGGGATCGATGGGTTCCTCATGCCTGTCAGGGTCGCCGAAGAAAGGGCTCCACTCAGCCGAGAGTCCAACGCCGTCGAGGAAACTGGTGAACTCGCGAAAGTGGGTGTCAAAGTCGACGCCTTTTCTAAGTCAGCTGTGTTGATCGAGAAATAGATGGGACTGACAGTACTGACCGCTGTCAAGCATCTGTGGTGACAGAAAGTTGGGAACGAATTGACCATCGTCTGCACTCGGTTGATGTTGCACTTGTTCATTCACTGTCTGAGGAACAGCAACAGGAAGCTGCATCGGCTGCTGTGTTCTTGCACAGAACCATGGGTCAACACTTAGGCCGGAGAGTGACACAGCTGCAGCCAAGTCTGGATCACCGATGCTATCATTCCCTTGTTGTACGACAGTCACATTACCTTGGGCAGGTTCAGGCGATGGGACGTCGCCCTCATGCTCGGCTAGCCGTTGATGACGCGTGAGCAGGTCGCGTCTTGCAAATGACGCCCCGCAATGGCACAAAAACGGCTTCTCTTTGGTATCTACATCAAATCAGCTACCCTATCTTCAATCAGATCACAAGACTCACGTGTTCTGACGTGTCTCTCGAGATGCTCCGTTCGTTTGAAGGTGCGCCCGCAATGTGGACACATGCGTAGATTGACTCCAGCCCCATTGTAACCCACTCTTTGTCGCTTGTTTGGAGTGTCGTATGTCCCGATGTTGTCACCCATTCTGCAGCAATGACTCCAAGAGTTGGAGTGGAATCGTGACGGAGGGGGCGAATGGGGTAGTGCATCGTTTATCATGGAGTCGTGGGTGGGGCAGGCTTGGAGTAGCGTCTGATAGCGTTATCTTTGGGGTGTCATCGCGGGCAGATAATCAACTAACAGAATAGGGCAGAGATAACACGGTATCGCGTTAATCACATATCATCCTGGAGAACGGCCAACTTGATCGGGGATGGGTATGTAGAGGTTTCGACGATATTGCAAAAGTTGGAGAAAATTACGAAGAGATATTAGCAGCTTTAGACTAAGACGAGATGAGATTCTGAAGGTCTAGGCGAAATCCCGTAACTTGTCACGTAAAGCATTCAACAAGCACGCGCGGCAAATGATCAAAGGTAATCTGCATAGCAATATAGTGATGTTCCTTCTACAGGCGCCAAACACCGACCTCTACAGATGTGAAGATTCTCTGACGCGTCGGACCTCGTTCAGCACATCCTCCGTCTCTTCAACTGTAGACTTTCCCCCCTGCTCCCAGTCAAAACTACTCTCTAGCGCTTTCGCAACGCTCAGAACCTTTTTCTCTTGCCAGAGGCCACCAACGATCTGTAATCCAACCGGCAACAAAACACTCTCATCATCAACAGCCTTTGACCAACCAACAGGGAGCGACAGAGCAGGATTACCCGTGACGTTGAAGATGGCAGTGTTGTTCGTCATCCCGATGCTCGGCTCGAATGACTTGAGCACAGACTCTCGTGAGCCGTGACGCGGTGCGACGAAGGGTGTTGTTGGCATGATGATGACGTCGTATTCTTTGAACTTTGCTTCGTATGCATCGCGTATTTGCCGACCGATGTTGACTGTCTTTGCATAGAGACCGGGGAAATTGCGTGAAAGATAGATGCCGTTGATGACAGTGTTCTTGGTGGAAGGAAAGAGCTTCTCAAATTCAGAAGATGTCCATGGAAGACGGGCTTGCTCGAACTCTGTCAGGTAAAGACCTCGGCGGCCATTAGCTTGGCCCAGGATGCCTGCCGAGCCGGATATGCGTTGCTGGATGGTCCATATTGAAGGGCCTTCTTTATGAAGGGGAATCGAAACCTCTTCGACAGTAGCGCCGAGAGATTTGAGTCGGTTTATCGTGTCGAAAAAGGTTTGCTTTACACCTGGTTGTACCAGATCATTGTCGTAGCCTTCTTTCAGAACGCCGATTCGGAGGCTCTTGACGGATGCACCGGCCAATGAGCCCAAGAAGTCAAAAGATCCTGCTGATGGTGCACCAAGTGATCGGTCGTCGATGCCGTCGTATCCTGCAATGACGTCCAAGCAAGCAGCAACTTCGTCAACTGTCCGGGCGAGGGGTCCGGCATGATCATCAATCTGATCGCCACTCGTGATACCCGTATATGGGACAAGTCCATGCGTTGGCTTGAACCCGACGCAACCGCATAGCGAGGCTGGTACACGGATACTGCCTCCTTGATCTGTACCAATTGCTATATCGGCCAGACCGCCCGTGACAAGAGCTGCGCCTCCAGAGGTACTACCACCAGCGGAATATCCCTCTTTGCGCGGGTTATCGATCGTTCCTTGGGCGCTTGTGAAAGATGATGTCGAGTTGCAGAAGTTTTCACATGTCGCTGTTCCCGTAATCACAGCCCCTGCTTCAAGGACTCTCGTGACAACAGTGGCATCAGTTGACGGTGTCCAAGCGGGAAACGCATCGCTTCCAAAGAACTGCGGCACACCAGCTACAGCGATACAGTCTTTCAGACAAACAGACTTCCCCGCCAATGCAGAGCGCGAAGACTTGTCGCCTTCGATGATGAAACGATGCGCCCAGGCATGACCATAGCTTTGCTCGTGTTCTTCGGGAAGATGGATGTTTTGACGGGGGAATCTTTCGATATCCGGGACGGGCTGATAGTCGGGGAGATTGGAGACACGTTCTGCGCAGTCATGAACAGCTGCGAGGAGGAGTTGGTATTCTGATGATTCCTCGGGGCGGATGGTGAGATTGATGGGGTCGAGTAGGGCCTCGACGTCGCCTGCTTGAACAGGGTTACCACTGCAAACAATTATTAGTTTTTGTTCATACCCTGTAATGATTCGGCTCAAGAGTCAACATACGGTAGAATCTCTTTGAAGAAAACAGACATGGTTGCGGCGTCGATCGAGGCGGAATGGCGTGAGGTGTCGAAACGTACTAGCCAAGACAATCCCAACCTAGAGGTAAACTTATCAGTTTATCAACATAGATAAAGTAACCCCGCCATTTCTCAGGATATTGTTCTTAATCTCAACCCGTTTCGTGGTCCACTCAAGCTGTTGGAGTACCTTGACCATGGCTGGAGACTTACCCCAAGATCCCTGTTGGGGTACTTCAACACCATGCCATGACGGATAACGTAGTGTGGCGACAGAGCCCAGGCCGGGAGATAACACGGCAATCGGTTCTGCGGATTTGTAACAGTAGAGAGGCCTGTTATTGATTTTCGAGATTGACACCGGGGAACTTTGTGAAACGTAGAGAAGCAGTCGCGATGGCGTCCAGCACTGCATTACCGTCTCAAATGAGAGCGGCGTATATCGCGGAGGTGAGCATGACTACAAAGAATTAGTCGGAACGAATGGGCGCTAACAATTCCCAGTATAACAAACCGTATGCCTTGGGGGAGCGTCCACTGCCCTCCATCCGAGACACAGACATTCTCGTGCGGGTTCACGCGGCTGGATTTTGCCACTCAGACCTGCAAGCATTGCAAGGCGAGTTCGAGAGACCAGCGCCAATCGGCCTCATACCATCTCATGAGATAGCTGGAGTTGTTGCCAAATTGAGTAGCAACTACCAAGGCGATCTCAAAGTCGGCGATCGTGTTGGCGTCCTCAACTTCAAGCATGCTTGCAGCTCATGTGTAGGATGTCGCTTGACGCAAAGGAGAGGCGAAGAGCTTGATCCCAGATTCTGTGATAACCGAGAAACAGCTGGCTTCTTGCACGATGGAGGGTTTGCGGAGTATGCGTCTGCTGACCCGGAGACAACCGTGAAACTGCCGGACTCGATCTCGTTTGAGCAAGCGGCCCCGCTCACTTGTGCGGGAGCAACAGTATGGGGAAGTCTTGAGGGCGCCACAGCGGGAGTGAGCAGAGGGGACACAATAGCGATCGTGGGTATTGGTGGACTCGGGCACTTGGGTGTGCAGTTCGCAAAAGCGCTCGGGTTCAAGGTCGTTGCGGTGGATAGCAGAGAAGCTGGTCGACAGTTAGCATCAGACGTGGAGAACTCAGCACTGAAGCCTGACCTTGTTGTGGACTCTTCCGACACTGCAGCGGCATCAAAAGCCATCTATGACTTCACAGACGGCGAGGGCGTCGCAGCAGCGGTTGTCTGCACCCCATCGTTAGAAGCGAATCGCTGGGCGCTCAGTATTCTGAGGATCAAAGGCACGCTGGGAATACTGGGTCTTCCTCAGAATCCATGGCAGTTCGACGCGGCGCCGATTGTGTTTCGAGAGTTGACAATAAAGGGGAGTTACGTGGCGGGGAGAGCGGCGACGGAGAGGATGATGAAGGTCGTGGAGGAGGCGGGCGTGAGGTCGCATTTGACAGTGTTGCCGTTTGAGAAGATTCCTGATATTATTGAGATTTATGAGGATGCGGCGTTCAAGGGACGGATTGTTGTGCAAATATAAGTGAGGAAAGGGATGTATTGGCTTTAACTACCGTTGTCACCATGCGTCAGTGAGATGAAACAGCCTTTTGGGCGAAATTAGATTGTGCCTACAGTGATTCGGTGGAATGTCTGCTGGAAATGGAGTTTAAGCGGAAGATGAATCTTGACGGTAAGGAGATGAGAGTGATTCATGCGACGCCCCAGGCTCCCAAATCCTAGCAACCATCCGACAGCCAAACTCACAAGAGGCCTCAATCTCCATGACTCACAGGGATACTACGCGTTTTTCTTTCTCTACGTATCTGCCAGAAACATCGTATCACTTGTAGAAACATCACGCTTACTTGTTTCTCTGGATCGCATCATAAAAGGCTCCATGCATGGGAACGGACTCGTCATGTACTCATCATTGTGAGCTAGATGTGTTATTTGCAGTTGAGACCTGTGGCTTAGAGCTTATAATCACCACGCTCGTCATGTACTCGGTGGCCTGGCCTTTCATCTTGGTAATCTCGCTGTAAATAGCCTGAGAATACACATGGATTGATCCGACGCCGAGTTCCCATCACCCAACCTGCCCCAGCTTTGAAAACACCCTTTAGCCCGCAGGCACCGTTAGATGCTTCGCTCGATTCGGCCCAACATCGATTCCACGCTCGATGCGGGCCCCCATTCCTAACCACGCCCTTTTCAACCTGATCCCGACACTGGGCTATTGTGTGGGTAGTTGGTATGCTGCCTGAAGTGTGTTTTTGAGAGTGTTGTTTTGAGTTGATAGACCTGACAGCTGATTCCTGCGTCCAGTGCCCTACCTCGATCAAGCCGGTCTGTCTTTCAAGAGGGCTGGAGACTTGATCATGGAGCTACCAAGGCTGAGACCGCCCGCACTTCGGCGAGGGTCGAAGCGACCAAAGCCGTTGGGGTTGCCGAACCCAACATCCCTCTGTGCAACAAGGCTGTTTGAAGCCACAGGAGGGAGCCCAAACTGCTGGCCCGTAGAGAAATCAAATGGGCTCTGTGGATGACTGGCCATCGGCTAGACCTGAAACCTGAGAAACGGGGGGTAAAAATGATTATCTTCATGGCGATGGTATTCATGATCTCGCACCGGAGGTTGGTGAAGAGGATGTCGTTGCTACAAGAAAAGGTCAGGATGTTGCTAATTATTGAAGAGTGGCAAACTCACTTGTTTGACTTGGCTTTTTCGAGAGCAGCTGGATGGCAGGATCTCTCGATTTTCGGAGCCAGAGTGATTCTCCTGCTTGAGACACTCGAGGAGCTCGGGAATGGCCACTCGGTTGTAGGCCGCCTGGAAGCCGCGCCGGTTGAGAAGACCCTGATGGCAGGTGTTGCCCCAGGTCCGCTCGACAACTGGAATTCCCACATGTATCCATTTGTCGCGAGATTCGCGTGGGCATTTGCAAGGGAAGGGCATAGCAGGGATAGTTGATTGAGGCTTGTCATGGTGCAGGGTCACAATAGCCAGGGCTCAGTGCTGGGACATCTGATGATGGATCGCAAGGTAACAGGCGTGAAGTGCAAAGGGCATCGAGAGGAAATGAAAGGGGAGGGGAGGCTTGCGGAGAGTGAGGCCTTGGCAGCCGGCTTGTACTTGGGTTGCAGTTAGCTTGAAGCTTCTCCATTCTCGGGGTCGGTCGACATACTGGAGATTGCCTGACTCCTCACTGTGAGCGAGATGTGGTGCTTGCTCTTCAGGTCAGCGGCCGAGAGCCCACATGCACTGAGGCAGTGACGACGCGGGATCGAGAGGGTTGATAATGATACTGAGTGCACAGCGAACAACTGGCTTGGTGGAGTGAAGATATGGTGATAAATGAGGACGATGGCTCCCGTTCAGAGATTAAGAGATACGAAGGAGGTTTGTGCGGGGAAGAACGAGGTGTAGCGAGTGGTTAGGGCTTTGCGTTGGAGGATAAACAAGCTGGAAAGCTGCGAGTGGCAGAGGGAGGGCAGGAGGTTACCAGGTCGCACCATGCACCGTTTGGATGAGGGCTCAGAAGCTGGCCGGTCAGCCTTGGCTTCCAGACATCTTATCTGAGAATTATCTGATCAAGGAAATGGACATCAACCGAGTTACAGCGTCTATTGGTCTGATGGAGCGGTAAAGCCCTGGCAACCAAATCAGCCACGAGATGAGGCAAGCTTCAGCGATTGGCCACGAGCCCATAACGAAGCACACTCTACGACACAGCCCTAGATCGCGCACGGGACACCAGTCAAGTGTACTGAATTACAAGCCACTTTACACACACGTAGGGGGAGACTACCGACATGTGTTCACACAGATGCTGGCAATCTATCAAACTGCAAACAGGGAAGCGGCTCTCCTTGTTCCGCCCGCCGCAACATGTTCACAGATCGAAACGACCGCGATCACTGAACGTAGCCCTCCCTGCTCAGATAGAATCGAAATACAGGCACGGATAAGGCCATTGAAGCTATTCTTCGAACAATTACTTGAAGTGCATTTTGAACAAGACAAAGCTAGCCCGCACAACTTGGAGACGCGCCTTGATTCTTCGTCCACCCTGATACAGCGAGCGAAATGTGTTCTTTCCTTGTCCTCGAACTTCCCAGTTGAAAACTCCCCGACCAAGATCAAGTTGGTCGTCAAGTCAAGTCATAGGAGACTGCCAACCCCCACATTGTGTGCGGCTTCCGAGAGTAGAGAGAACTCCACGCTGCAGCAAGAGAGTGGCGGACTGTAGTCCAGGCTGTCGCATGAAGCGCACTGCCAATCACCCAAGACATTGAGCACCTCCGAGTCCATAATGGGACATGCCCAAACGTCAAAACTCGCACTATGATCTGCAATAGCCCCACTCACGACGGCTTTCGACCACACTCAATGTCGCTGCATATACCCCCTACCGACGACCGATCTGCATAGGTTTGACAATACGCATCTCAGGCATTTCTCTTCACGACTCAAAGGGATTTAGTAACCTTCCAAAGTGTCAGTGAGCCCAAACAAGGGGATCGAAGTGAGACCCGGAGTTTGCATCCGGCCCCTCCCTCAACATGGGTCTCGGCGAACTGTGTAATGCTCTGTAGACTACACCGGATCATGTGTGTACTGGGCCATAGCAGTTCAAACATAACTTGACTTTATGTCACCATGAATAGTATTCATTTGCCTATTACTCAGAGTCGCAAGACAGCCCATTTTATTCCCAACTTTCCACTCTTACCGCGATGTTCACACCTATCAATCGTGCTTGATTGAACCGTAGCATGAGCTCTTGGCCATTCGTCAACATGTTTCCAAGATGCTTGGTCATACTCTGCATCTCTATCCTGCCTCTGATTGGACCGCTCGCGATAACACACACCGACCAGACTCGAACAATATATGCTCAACTGCACTGCCACGAGCAAATACTTCCGGGGCCAGACGGAGCAAAAGAACTTCTGACATTGATCAGGGTGCAAGGACTCACTGGTCTAAGTTAACCCTAAAATACACTAAGATTGTCAAAGTTTACTAAACTTACCTAAGTCTTATTATCACTTAGGATAGAGGTCTTGGGTTTTTTGCCTCCCCTGGGGACAGGTTTTCGATACACTCTCACAAATGGATGAAAGCGAGGTGAATTTTATGCTTAAACAAGGACATCCCAAAGGACTACTCACCACATACTCACAGCGCCAGGGGATAGGCATTCGCATAGCTAGTATAACCGCAGGATATATCCCAACTTAGACTTGTGGCCTCGCTGCATTGAGCAACGAATTACTAGAGAGTTGATTTCAAAATATCTAAACACCTCTGGAGATGCGCCCTACCATTGCGCATGAGTGGCAGCTTTTTTATTCTCAGAGATGAGTTACAGCACTTTGACTTAACTGCTTGAATACCGATCCGCATACCAAGCCGAAGGATCATAAACACCAGCAAAGGAATAAATACTCTAATAATCTACATAAATAAGCCTCTTCCAGAAACTAGATTATCTGTGACCAAAGACATAAAGCGCCATGTCACTACTCCATAGTAGATGTCGTCTTATGGTACTACAAATCAATCTTCGTCAACCAGGGGGCTCTCAGTGACAAAGACAAAAAAAGGAATTCCTCCTGCAGGAATTGAACTCTGCCCCTCGCCGATATCTCAAACAGCCCCCGGAGGCGCTGCAGCTCGGCGTATGCACCACTACACCAAGGAGGATGTGAATGATAGAAAAAGTGTTTGGTAACTGCCCTTGTATACCAGCCTCAGGGAAGGCATGTCCTAAATAAGAGGGTGGCTTTTCATAGGGTAGGATTGAATAAAGTTTAAGCACATTCCGGTTATAATACATAGTGCTTATATTTATATATATTACTCCATGGGGTTAAAAGCCGTTGAGTTTAATAATAACAATACAGGGTGGCGTAGTCATAAGAGAGGTTGGCAAAACTCTGCCAATACCATCCAGGGTAGAGTGAGAAAACGCAAAAATATAAGTATTCCGCTTCAAGGACTCGAACTTTGGACTCTACAGCGTCAGGCAGGCTCCCCTGGGGGAACCTCTAGATATCGCGGTTCACGCTGCCAACTGCGCCAAAGCGGATTTCCAATTATTAAAGATAGGTATTGTATTTTGGGTAGATGTTCCTGATACGGCGTGCTCTGTGCTAAAGGTAGACATTGTACTGACTCGTTGAGCCGGCCGACTCGTCCCAATATGACCGACACCTGAACATGCCTGTGTGCAGTGATGAACTCGTACCATATGTGAGGTTCATTCTGCCACCAAAAAAATAATTGATTGTTGACAGTGTCCCTGGAGAGTCGATGAATTATCGTAGAATCAGTGTCCCTAGATTGATAAGCCATGATTAAGTCGACCTCAAAGAAATCTGCCATAGTTTATATGCCAGACCCATAACTGCTGTCAATTTCCACTGGTAGGGGCGATGCTCGATGTGCCCCCACTACAGTCTGTTCCACTGGCATTGTTTACACAGACCACTGCCCAGCGACCGTATAAAATCGTTCTCTTCCTTCTTCAAGTTGGTAAGTTTCTTTCATCCCCATCAACATCAACTACTTCCGTACTCACAACAGCGCAGACCAGCCAACTCGTCAAGATGTCAAACGACTCCAACATGAAGCCCTGTGCCTTGCTGTTCGTCTCGTTCCTCTTCTCCTTAAAAGAAATTCAATTCTGACTTCATTCAAGTTTCGGTGAAGCTGGTCCCATCATCGCTGCCACTCCTAGTCTCGGTCTTTGCACCAAAGTTGAAGTACGCGTGGGAACGGCCACCCCTCCCTGTGCGAATCCTTACTTTGGGTTCACCCTGACCTTTTCTCGTGATCCTGGCCAGGTCACGAGTGAAAAAGAGGGGAGGGGTGTGTGCTATGCATGTAAGAGAGACAGTTCAAGAACAGCTGATATAGCACATCTGACCTTTGATTCCAGACGATCCCAGCAGCGACAAGCCTGTTCCGTCAGACTTCACCATCACAGTAAAGTTTCCGCGCGGGAGTATTTCCTGCAGTCGCCTGCCAGTCCCGGCAGTGATTCAGACCAGATTTCCCAAGGTTCAAGACTGGCAAGGTTTCACCTACCTTATTGTGAGACTTGACGATTCTTCCCATCCAACGATCGAGGGCTACAGAAAGGAGTATTTCAACTCTCCCGACCCTAAACTCCAAGGGTGGGTGAATTACCACGGGAGGATCAACGGTGTGTCGTTTCTCGAGGTGCTACACCAGCGCGCCTTCTCCTTCATCGTCGAACTCCCTATCGGTGGGGAGAGCATGGGGGACCAAAATCTCCCTGGGCTATTTACATATGGCTACCCATGCCAGCCAGCCGACGTTCAAGAAATGAAGGCCCTCGTTGACGAGAAGAAAGGCGGAGATTTCCCCCCTTGTTATGCGTCAGTTAATCCGTTTCACTTGGAGTACCACGTGGACTAATGAACATGATAGCTTTGACAACGACGAAGCGCACATCACGGCCATAAACCAAAGCGTTATCCAGGACACTCTCTGGGTACACCGGGAAGCTGAACTAGTATGTAATACATCATCCGATCGACGTCAATAAGGCCTTATGTGACTACAGATTGCCGAAGAACGATTACTTGCATACTTTGCCACACCAATTCGTGTGATCTCAGAAGGCCATGCCGTCCACCTTGTGGTCCTTGTGCCTAAGGCATGGAGAGACCTCCATGATCTCGCATGGCTGCGGCTGACTGCAGGCAATCCTCTTATTAAAGTAAAGATTCATGATATCTCTACTCCTGGACATACTGGGCCAGCTCTCTGGTAAGTTGACGTTTCTCACGAGCCTCAGAACATGAATTGACGATTGCACTTCGTAGGACGGGCAAGATCATAGGAAGCAACAATTCGGCTCCCGAGCTGAGAACACATCCGATTCAGGACCACGAGCTTATCGTACGCGTCCGCGCCGCCTCCGTTCCGCGCATTCTCATCCGCCACTATCCCAACCGCCGAACCGCCGATAAAGCTCTTACACAAGGAACACAGAACTAGAACTCCGTCTCCCTCGTTTTCGATTCAAGAATGGCAGAAGTGGAAAAAAAGGTCAACAACATGCGTATGTTTGCGCCATCCGCACTCCCAACAAACCGACAGGCGTGGCGCATGGCTTTGGACGGTGCGGGAAATCTCATTGCACCGCATATGCTCAATACGGACCAAAGGCAGACGTACGATAGGGTAATGTTCCAGATGGATGTGCATAGAGCCGTTCTTCGCGGTACGGGCTTCTACAAAGTGCTATCCAGAGAGACAAACGGCTTGGGCATTGGCGCTCTGCCTAGTATGTGTTACAGACTGTATGATGACCGTTACTTAATGCAGTGCATCATCGAGGAGGCCGGGTACCATCAGAGAAAGCGCTTTCGCGAGTATTTGATGGGTCGTGAGCTCAACATTGGTCTCATCATCGGCGTAAGTCCCTAATTTCCCTTCGCATCCACCGCAGATTGATACTCATAAATCTCCTCAGCCACCAGGATCCGGAAAGACAACCTTCGGAGCTGCAGCAGCCCTGGCGATGCAGGTTCAGCTCGGCCAGATTCTGTGTTCTGGTCCCTCACATGCGTCGATAGATATTTTTGCCCATCGCCTGGACCAGAGAGCACGAGCGGTAGCCGCAAGATACAACACGGTCATGCCTGCGGGCGATGCAGAGAGATGCCACCATCGCCTTGTCATCCGAATTTACAGGCCTGGCGACGAAATCAACGCCGTTACCCAGCTATTGAGGGACCCTCAGGATGTTGATTGGGCTGCCCGTAGGGGTGAGTTCTCCCCAGAAAGTCACTGGAAGCTACATCTTTCTTTAGCGTACTGGTTCTTGGTAGTCCTGCGCTCGAACGCCGTACCACCGCTCCACGTAGACTCTAAGCCAGGACTAGTAAATCTCAAGGCCGATATCGACACACGCCCCGCTCTGTTGCATCTACGTCAGGTAAAGTGCCATTGTTGATGGTTAACCAGTGTTAAGATTGTACTAACGGAAGTAGTGGGCGACTGGGCAGATCAGTTCGCAGCAATACGCCGCCACCCCCGGCGCTGTTTCCAATATTGATGATGTGTTGTGTGAAATTATGTGCCAGGCCGACATTCTCTGTGTGCATCCTTCCGATGCTGAAGTCTCACCTATCACTCATTGGAAGAGAATTCTTGCCCGAGGCCTTGCAGTTGATGAAGCTGGCAGCAGTGAGTCAAGTCCATCAACCATACAAGGTACCCAACAGCTAACCATCACACAAGTGAGCCGAGCCGACTTCTACGGCCTCTGGGGGAATACCCTTCTTCCCTGCTTCCTTGTTGGCGACCCTAATAAGAACCCTGTGGTGCTTACAACCGATGAGAAGGATGCCGATGGCAACTTATATAACCGTTTCGCGGCAAATGGTGCCGTTTCGCCTCTGAAATTTCTTATGGCAACTGGCATCCCCGTCTTCCGCTTGGAGGATTCTACGCGGCGCTAACTGAATGTTTGAGTCGTGACCTTTGTGGTATCATGGGTAAAACATCGACGACATCCAGGATGGTATTAGTAGGGCGAATTGATTTGTTTCAGTATCAAAGGACCCTGCTGGCTATATGTATGATGTGACTGACAGATTCAGATGCTATAATCTGTTTGTACTGCTCGCACATTGTGGGCTTCTTCTTTAGTGTATTCAACTGAGTAAATACAAGTCCTGGTTGTTACCAAAGCTTCTTTTACACAAGTGCTGAAGCATGTGAAAGTTATCTGGATTTTAATATACATTTATCAAAATTCTCTACATTTATTATAAAACTTTATGTCGTAATTGAATCATAGGCTTGAATAGGACTGATTATCTAATGGGATAATTATACTAGCAAACTGCAACGGCTTACTTTCTTTAAAGATGAAGTTGTAGCATTCCGCTCCGTACATTTTCCAATCAATTCCTCAAGCTATGCGACGTCGAATGAGCCGCTGTACAATCCGCTCATCGATCAATGATTGACGCACGTGAAAACCAATCGCTGCACCAATCGTCAAAAACACCAAAAAAGCGCTGATCAATGAAGAATCTAGATTCATCCATCTCACAAATGACGAACCCCAAGCGTTTCTGGGTGTAACACACCACATCTTATCTTCGGGGCAAATCGTCCGAGCGGCAACGCCTGAACCTTGTTTAGTCCTAGGAATGCATGTCATTGTGCTGCGGGGTCTAAGCTGAGGGTGCCATCCAAAAACCATCGTTTGCAGTAGAATGGTGTACCAGTGGACGCCACAGACATCCCGTTCTTATCAATTGACATCAGATATCTTTCACCGACTTTGTTATCTGACTTCTGGGTCACGTCATTGTGTTCGTGGAGATGATGTAAAAACATCACCGCCTCTGCCTCTGGTATTCATCAATCGCGCTCTGTAATCTCAGCAAAATGTCGCTACCTACGAGCTCACCGCTCAATCCCGTCGGAGAACGTCGAGGAAGACGACATTCCATCTTTGCTGATTTTATTCCAGACGATCTTACATTTCCCCCGGTGTTCATCGACCCGACTCCCAATGTGGAGGAGATTCTCAATCGCGATATCGACGAGTGCTCCTCTGGAGATGAACACCGCGATGAAGAAGCCATCGAAGACCCGCGATACGTAGACGAAACCGATGTCCAATTAGCCTTCCATCCAACAGGCATCGCCTTCGGTCAAGGCTTCTCAACCGTCCCCCCATCAAGCATCGACATCCCGCCCCCAAATCCCCACGACTTTGAACAATCCCTCCGCGCCGAAGTCTCCCTCCTCCGCGACAACGATATCATTCCACCGAAGCATCCTCCTACAGGATGGAAGACCACGAAGCTTGGCCGTCTGTATCGGCACATGTTTAGTACGCGTGTGCACGATCATGATAAGCCACTCTTCGCATCGGAAGATTCGGGTGAGACGACGCCGTTATTGAGGGAGAGAGTTGTGAGGTTTGATGGAATTCCGCCGACGCCGGGGCCGGATGAGGTTCATAAGCGTTGGGAGGAGGCGCTGGCGTCGCATAAGATTGAGACGACGTGGCAGCGTGAGACCAAGACGTTGATTCAATATGCGCTGCCTCTTATTGTCACTTTTCTCTTGCAGTAAGCACCGCGACGATGTGCAAGTGAGTGATGACGCTGACCGATCACAGTTACTCGGTCACCGTCGCTTCTGTCTTGACAGTCGGTCGTCTTGGAATGGAGGAGCTCGCCGCTGTCAACTGTAAGTATTCAGCGTCTTGCTCAATCTGATTCACATGCTAACATCTTCAGTGGCCACGATGACTGCCTCGATCACTTACTACGTCCCGGTTCAAGGCCTGGCAACCTGCCTCGACACCCTGTGCGCACAGGCCTACGGCTCCGGTCACAAGCATCTCGTTGGCCTTCAGGCGCAAAGAATGACCTGGGTTCTCTGGCTGATCATGATTCCCATCGCTATCGTTTGGTGGTTCTCAGAGCCTATTCTCGCCGCAGCCGTTGGTCCAGGTCACACAACAGAATTGGCAGCTTTGTACATGCGTATCCTCATCGCTGGCATGCCTGGCGTCAGTGCCTTCGAAAGCGCAAAGAGGTTTGTACAGAGTCAAGGTTTGTTTCATGCTACAACTTATACGCTTCTTGTTGGAGCGCCTTTGAGCTTTTTGCAGAATTGGCTGTTTGTGTTCAAGCTTGGATGGGGCTTTCCTGGTGCCGCTATTGCCATGGCTGTCACCCATAACCTCCTCCCAATTCTTCTCATTTTGTACGTGCGGCTCTTTGAAGGCTATGAGTGCTGGAAGGGTTTCAGCCGCAAGGCATTCACAAACTGGGGTGAGCCAAGTTCGAACTCAACAAGACATGCTTTCTGACTGTCGCAGGCCCAATGATCAAGTTAGCTTTGCCGGGAATGATCATGATCGAAGCCCAGTTCTCCGTGCTGGAGATTCTCACCATTGCCGCGGGACGGTTTGGTACAGCGCAGCTGGCAGCTCAAGGGGTCTTGGTGACCGTCACGTCGATGTCTTTCAACATTCCCTTCCCGTTGGCTATCGCAACCTCGACTCGAGTTGCAAACCTTATTGGGGCTGATTTGAGCAAGGCTGCCCGAGTGACAGCCAAAGTGGTGAGTCTAGTCTCATTTTGGTCACGATACGATCTGACTGATTTTACAGGCCATCTTCGCTGCACTCATCGTGGGGAGCATCAACTTGACGATATTCACGACCCTCCGAAGACAAATTCCCGCCGTCTTCACGGAAGATGAACAAGTCATTGACATCGCATCCAATGTCATCCTCGTCTGCGCAATCATGCAGATCTTTGACGCGTTAGCAGCCGTCTCTCACGGCCTTCTTCGCGGTATCGGACGCCAGTCCATTGGCTCTTATGCCAACCTCTTCGCATACTACGTGGTTGCTCTTCCAATTGCCCTCGGCACCAGTTTCGGACTGGGTTGGGGGTTAGCTGGACTCTGGGTCGGTCTAACAGCGGGTCTTGCTGTGTAAGTTATATCCTCCTCTGCTTGTCATCGACTTGTCACTGACCTCTTTTGCAGGGTATCTGGCCTGGAGGCCATGTATTTGTACTTTACAGATTGGGAGGAAGCAGTGAAGCAAGCTGAGGCAAGAATGCGAACCGAGACGGCTAGAAGACGATCTTCGCTGTCAGGCCTGTCACAGGAGAGACACTAACATGACTGTGGTCATCTGATTTGTTGTTTCGTTGATACATCTATTTTTCGACGAGCGGGCCTTTGTGATTTCCTTTTGGTAGCTTCGCAGCGAAGCGTATGGGCATCAGATTGAGCAAAGAAGCAGGCAAGCGGTATCTTTTTTTTTTTTTTTAGTTCTTTTAGCGGTTCAATCATTTCTATTTTGCAAGGCCCGATGTGTTTGTATGCTCTCACAGTTCAATCCACGACATTAAAAAATGCATTAAGCGACGGGTCAGAGGTCGCGATGGCGTAAAGCTTGGTGTTGTGGAGATCTTGGCCTGATCCAATTTTACTGCTAACGAACAAGCTCTTGGCCTGACCCTTTATGCATTAGCGAATGCCAAAGCGTCCATCATCAATAATTAATTAACTTCAATCAAATTGAAGGTTTGAAGAATCAGGGTCCTATCGTGATTACTTCCTTATCTTCAGCTGTCAAAAGATCCAGCCAAAGCTGTCTAAATGTAGCTAGTCTACTTGTCACGCCTGTTTTGACGTTACACGCATGCGGAGTCAATGATGTCAGATCAATGACGTATGCCCATCTCTTCAACTCAGGGTCTTCCTTGATCAAAATAATGACGCCGTTATTTTGCAACTATTGTGTTACCCCTCCATCATCCCCGATTTCCAGGGTTCAACCTTACAAGATATCATTATTCCCGATGGCGACCCAAACTGTCAACCCCCCGACCGTTGACGGTTACCGGGACTCAGACGATGAGTTCAGCTCAGATGATCAGGAGTTCCACGTCGATGAACGGTCTGGACGGTCTTGGCCGACGAAGATTCTTCATAATGTTATTCAACCCATTAAACCAAAACTGGTAGAGATTGGAAAGGTTTCCTCTGCTGATCCTACGAGGTGTAAGCCGTCGAGGGGAGCAAGGAAGAGATGTGATGTTCAAGAGAACAAGGTCGAAAATATCTGGACGTATGATATGACTCCAAAGTCTTCTGATGGAGAGAAGAGGTCCTATGCCAGGAGGATATTGTACTTTGCTGGAGGCGGATGGCAAGCACCTCCAAGTGGTAAGTAGGCCATTTTCTTGCCAGGAGCCCTACTGACAACTACAGGCCAACATTGGACATTCTGCGCAGAGATGATAAACCGCCTGCAGGATACTAGACTTACCCTCGTCTCGTATCCCCTAGCACCAAAAGACCCCGTTCAAGACGCATTCCCAGCCATCTGCAAGACTTATAATGTCTTGTTGAAGGAATCGTCTGACCTTGGCGAGAGGGTGATCGTTGCTGGAGACAGTTCAGGGGGCAACATCGCCCTATGCCTGGTGACTTGGACAATGAGAGATCAAGATGTACGAGTCGTTCGACCTCCATCTGCCATCCTCGCGATCACTGCAACTACCGATCTACGTCACAATCATCCCGACATCAAAGAGGTGGACAAGGTTGATCCTATTCTGAGCGGGTCGTCCATTAATGAAACAGCCGGTGCGTGGGCTCCCGGCCACTCGGACGTAAGTCAACAAAACGGGACGAACGGGGAAACAACAGATAGGAATGAAAAGCTCGACTGGTCCGCCGATGATCCTCGAGTCTCACCCATCCATGCCGACCTGGGCGTCTGTATCAGGAACAATGTCAAGATCCATGGTATAACAGCTTCACATGATGTTCTTGGGCCAGAGGCTGTTGAGTTTAGAGAGAGATGTAGAAACGAAGGCGTTGATGGCGAGTGGCTGTCTTGGGGTGATCAGATGCATTGCTTTCCGTTGGCGTACAAGTATGGGTTAAAGGAGAGTAAGGAGGGACTTGAATGGATCATTAATGTTCTGAAGAAATGCTGAGAGATACCCTGTATACGAATGAGATAGAGCAAAATGGAGTTGACGGCGACTTGATTTTATGGTTCAATGAATAAGTGTTGGGTGATTGCTTGTTCGCATCATGAAGGTCAGAGTGGCCAAGCAGGTGTTTACCCAACAGAATGTTTACATAACCAAGGAACAATCTTTTATTGTGTAAACGATTTAATATTGCCCAAATAATCGTACTGATTGGTAAAAGACGACCTCAATTAGAGTGACTGGCATGGTCGCAGACTCCAATACTAAGGCTAGCAGAACGGACATCATCAGATTCTCACATCATACGCAGTAGCAGTCACACTCCGAACAGACCTTCGCAATCTCCGAACATTTGCAATTCAACTATCTAGAATTGAAATGCATGGTGATTCGTCCCGGTCAGAGCGCTGCCACTGGTGTCCTAAAGCACTGCCTGGCTAAAGAACAAGCGATTGTACCCCCTAATTCATGGACGAAATAGGCATCAATCCAGTGAACACTGATGCAAGATATCGCACTGGTAGTCCAAACGCGACCAGTGCGGATGAACACAAAAGTCAGTAGTCATCCCATCTACTTCGTGTTCCTCATCTCAAATTCTGAAGTCTCTTGCTTTCGTCCAGTTCATCCAACACTCTTCAACACCACTTACACTAACAAAGTCGACATCACACCGTTGAAACATTCTCAATATGCCTTCTAGGGGCCCCGAACTATCTTATGAGTCTTCCTCTGACATCAAGATGCCCGGCGTCCCGTGCCCTAAGTGCACCACGGCTGAGAAGGAAGTTTGGGTAATTCCTGGCCACTCCTGCCCACATTGTGGCATGGTGGCAGGTGGATGAGACTTTCTGAGTTCTTCCGACAAGACGCTGACGTTGTATACAGATCCATGTCTCTAAGAACACGACCGTCTCGACTTTCAACACGACCGAGCGATAGCCCGTATGCATGGTCGATTTACGGCTTCCTGTCTTGGCGATTAGAGGGACGATGGAATTGTAGAGGCATATCTGGAGTTGTTGGTCTTGGGCCGCGAGATCTGTATTGAGAGAACAGTACCATAGTCCTAGTGTTAAACGAGAAGAAAAGGTTCACTAGGAGCACTCCAGTGCCGATCCTTTTAATCCCAAGCTCTACGGCACAGCGTGTGATGTGTCTTTGTTATGAATTAGCACGAAGGTATCCACAGGGGACAGTCAGATGACCAGCGATGACCAGCTTGAGGGCAATAGTAATCGCAAATCTCATAGTGAAAGTCAACCCTTGTACCCAGGATTAGAATGCTGAGACCTGTAGAGCTGACATTGTATGTGAAAATCTTGACCTCAATCTCTTGACCTTCAGCTAGCCTCTAGCTCTTCATCTTCCTCCGGATAGGGGATCCTTCTGACCACTAATATGGTACAGAGACCGCATATCTTGCGACTTAATCCACATAGTAGTACGTCTTATCGAAGGCCTAGAACTTCGTGCCTAGACATGCAGGAGTCGACTATGGATCCATCTCTGACGAAGGATCAAGTCGCTTTTCCAAGAACAGCATTCACCTGAACGCTCACACCAGTCATGCCCGCCAACAACTTATTCAGTTCTATGTATCAAATCATTGGAGTTGGTCTTGAATCTCTCGTGGGCGTCTCACATAATGAGATATGTGACCCCTACGATGTCTTAGATCCGTGCAACTCCCCCCAAAGACCAGCCTCGGTGCTTAAATCATGTTGTCAACAGACGGACCACAGACTCTGAACTCTTTTGAAGATAGCTTCTAAGCTATCAAAATTCATATAGATCTTCGTCTTACCATTGCGAAGGCTAGTCCTCCTCAGTCTCATCAACTCTTCTGCCGCTTGTTTTGTTGCTCGCTTCACATCTTCGATTTCTTCCATTTTTCATTGCTCCAGGCGAGATCAAACATTGTTAGATGGCAGGACCCTAAATCCAGGTCCGTATGTATCTATCTATCAGTCGCGCCAATATTCGTCTTCTCACAGAATAGCATCTTATCGGCGCGCTCAATTCCGCGTAACAACAAAATACGACAGTCGATATTGCGCAAGATCCATCTTTATCGACCTCTATTAAGTTTCTGTATCAATAGTTTCCATTGGCGTCAATTGCCTCAGCCCGCCACAAATCGTTGCACAGGGATCAAATTGCGACATTGGGAGCACGCAATTCGCCCCGCGTCTGAGAGAATATTCTCACCACGATAACAACCTCGACAGGCACTTTTGCCCAAAACAAGTAATTATAGATATCGCTATTGGTCCGGTAGAGTAATATGATTGGTTTGACGATTCTTGTGCATGAATTCACAAACTCGAAACTGCCGATCTGCGAGTGTCTATAGATGCGCCTTGGACGTCTGAACGACCGACAGTAAGACAAAGTACAGAGGAGCAGATTTAATTGTTGAAAGACTATTATAAGAGATAATTCAGCAAATTATCCTTTGCCTGTTATCGGGATTCAGATCTGTTGTCCCCGAAGTCGGTCGTCGCATCAAAGTGTCGTCAAATCATGCAATACGCCAAGCAAGCACTATCTCTCAGTGTACACATGGCACCCACGTCTAGTGTCACCCAGCCCGATAAAGAACGCATCTAGCCTCTCGAGATCCCAATTTTCGGGTCCTTGCTTGCGTTCGCATATGCTTTAAAGCCCCTGGCCCATCGCTCCAACCGCCCTGCATGATCCTTCATCTGCACATCTATCACAATGTCTGTCGCCAAACAAAAGAAGTGGTATCACATCCAGTGGTACTCTGATACAGATACACCGGAAGAACGCAAGTTTATTATTAAGCTTGATCTTCTTATTGTTCCGTATGCTGTGATAGCTTATTGGGTAAAGTACATTGATCAGTCCAACCTGAGTATGCGTCCAGCCATTATCCCGTCTTTCTTCCAGCTTTCAAACTAACTTTTCATAGACAATGCATATGTTGCGGGTCTCAAAGAGGACCTGGGCTTCAAAGGCAATGAACTCGTTCAACTACAAACATTCTACATCATTGGCGCTGTCTTGGGCCAGATCCCATTCTTCTTCCTTCTCACTTACGTCCCCATCCACTGGTTGATCCCTGGCTTGGACGTCTGCTGGGGAATTTTTACCCTACTGCAATACCGAGTCAATAGCTTCGCCGAACTGGCAGCTTACAGATTCCTGGTCGGATGGTTTGAAGCAGCTTTCTTCCCAACTATGCACTACCTCTTTGGCTCATGGTACAGGGGTAATGAAATTGCCAGAAGAGGAGGTATCTTTTATGTCGGTCTATCTCTCGGAACACTTACTGCCGGTCTCATTCAGGCTGGTGCTTCAGCTCGACTCGATGGTGTGAATGGATTGGAGGGTTGGCGCTGGATGTATATCATCTGCGCACTGATCACCATTCCGGTTGGTATTGCGGGATACTTTGTTATCCCAGGGACGCCTGATCAGCCAAATCGTCGAGTTTTGAATCAGCATGACATTGATGTTGGTGAGCAACGACTCAAGCGAGCGGGTCATAGCAGTCACGGGAAGATGAAGCTAGGACACCTGAAGAAGGTCGTTCTGTCGCCTCAGTTTTGGGGAATCATTCTTGTTGATGTCCTATTCTGGAACGCTGGAACTCATAGTAGTTCTGGCTCATTCCTTCTTTGGATAAAGAGTTTGTCAAGGTACTCAAAGGCCAAGGTCAACGAGTTGGGTACCATCGCACCAGCTCTTGGTATATTCTACACTCTCTTCGTTTGCTTTGCGTCAGATCTTGTGTTGGGACCTGCTTGGGCTATCACTGTTTCGACTGTCTGGAACGCCCTCGGACTTATCATCCTCACCATCTGGAATGTCCCAGAATCAGCACTCTGGTTCGCATATTCGACCATTTACGCGTCAGTCGCGCTGTCAAGTGTTCTTCATGGCTGGGTCAATACGCAGCTTCGAGCATCCCCAGCTGAACGATCTTTCACGCTTGTCTTGATCAACGCTATCTCCCAGTCGACAACAGCTTGGACACCTTTGCTTGTCTTCCCGACTGTCGAAGGACCTCGTTTCCCGAAGGGTTACCCATTTGCATTGGGATGTGCTATTGGTCTGCTCATTGCGACACATGCCCTTCACCTATGGCTGAAGCATCGAGAGTAAGCAGACATAATCCCTGACATGAAACATCTGCTAACAATTGACAGTCCTCAAGCTGAAGCCCCTACTCAGTTTTTGTCCGAGGAAACCGGTGATATTTCTTCCGATACTGGATCTAAGACTGCCAACTCCAAAACTGCATCCGTCAACTAAACAATTGTATCTTGATGGAGGGAATGCCGTCTTGGATGGGTATGTTTGACATGCTGGGTATCTAGGTCTTGATGGGAATGAGAGGTCGGGAGCAAAAGAATGTGTTCTAGGGTGAACATGACCGTAGAAAAGAACAATGAAGTTCTTGAAAATGTCAGGAGATATAAATAGCGTGATAATCAAGGATGATTCATTGTTTTACTTGTCAAATGCTGTGATTCTGCTGATTAAATGCTCCTCCACCGTAGCTGGGATGCTGGCCCATGACTCGTGATGATCGCCCTGTTGCACCCCCAAAACAGGGACTAAGAGTTCACTAACGACATTGGGGAAGCCGCTGAAACCCCTGTACACCATCAACTACCGGTGTAAACCCCGATCGCTGATTCCTCGCGAGGAAAGGCAATCTTTGTGATGAACAGGCGTGCGATTATGAGATGCTCGTCACGCTTCATACTTTCGGAGCATCGAGAGTTTTTCAGCGTTTTTCGAATCCAGATCGTTGCTGGTCTGTTTTTTATGCCGAAGCACCTTCGTCTCAGTCAGTGGAGTTATTCCCGAAATCTGAATCCCAGAGTGCTGTGCCGCTTCACCAGAATCGGGTCCGGCCGAAGGTTAATCATTCGGCCGTTGGGAAGAATGACGTCTTACGACTAAGATAAGAAGAAAATTGAACCATGGTATTCACCCTCCCATGTATCACTGAACATTGCCTGTGATACCCTCATCTGGGAACTCCGCAGCTCTCGTTCCGCTGGTCTGGTCAGGCAAACCGCGCTGTGAACATGCCGCGGAATTATCCCCGAGACAATCCCAGCCATCAGCAAAAACTTGATCGGCCAAGCAAGCTGAATTCTTGGTTGCTCCAACACAAGCTCCACGCTTTTATTCCCGGCTGAACCAAGAAACGATGTCATAGCGGCATTGCCCGGCACATCGGCAAACATTTTTCTCTCAGAGACCTTCAGCGAAAAGACTCCACTGATCAACCCTCTGGTGATGCTCACTCAACCTGGCAAGCCTGGGGATACCCCAACTTTGAGAAGCCAGAGAAAAAGCGGACACTCCGCAGATGTATGTATCTCCATTGCAACAACAGATCACACGACAGATGCGAGAATGACTCGATGTCAAGACTTTGAAGCTCTAACGTAACACAAAAAGCATCGGAGCCGCATGCCGATGTTTGTTTAAACTGCTGCCTGTCGCAGAATGATCCTTGTCAACGAGAATAAAACGTGGGAATACCACTCAACTCCAGCAAATCTCCTCTCAGACCCAGTAAAATCTCAGAATGTAGATTGTTGATTGGAGCGCATAAACGAAACATGGGGGAGTCTAAAATGTCTCCACCACCTCCAATTCTCAACCTGGGGCAAGAGTTGTCGATGACACTGCGTTTGAGATGCGATGGTAGGAAGGACATTGAAGATCTGGGATTAGGAAGGAATAGAATATGGTCAATTTTGGATCTGGAGAAGACGAGATAAGGTAGTATTTATTTGGCTTCACGAGGAAGCAGGAAGAGTGATCTGCTTGGCATCTGGTATTGCGTTGAGATCATGACCAAGTTTTGATCCAGAGCCTCACGGAAACAACTTGACCAACGGCCATGTTTCCGCCCCTCGTCCAAAGTGACCACGCTAATTAAAACGCTCTGATAATGAGCAAGTACGGTTATCCGATGTGGATCTCACGTCTGATCCTCCACACAACCAGTCACTTGCAGCAAGTATAAATGCAACACCTGCCCACGAGATCATCGTCAGATTCTCAAACTACTAGCTAAATGCCAAATAGCAATCATGGAGCGCCTTCCAGGTTTCAATGTTGCTAATCATTTTGAGAAGCGTCAGCTTCTCATCGCTATTAATTGTGTTGCTGCTCTGTCGATCTTCTTCTTTGGGTATGACCTCATCACTTTCCGCAACTCCAACACTTTAAAGATAATTTTTTGAGCTTCAATTGAGTTCTTACTGATGATTTCAGATATGACCAGGGAATGATGGGAGGTGTCAATAACTCGAAAGACTACATAGACTTGATGGGCTTCGGCTACGTTGACGAAAAAACCGGCGAGCCAGTCATCACCGATAGTCTTCTCCAAGGCGGTATCGTCTCAGTTTACTACCTCGGAACTCTCTTTGGCTGTCTCTTCGGAGGCTGGGTAGGAGATAAAGTTGGACGTATCAAGACAATCGCCATTGGTGCTGCCTGGGCTATTGTTGGTGCAGCGCTACAGTGCTCAGCTCAGAACCACGACTGGATGATCTGCTCACGCGCAGTCAACGGCATAGGTACTACAACCCTACCAAGATGGACGTCCCATCTTTTACAGTGTTATTGACAGCAGGGTCTAGGAACCGGAATTCTCAACGCCATCGTACCGGTATGGGCTACCGAGACAGCCGAACATACCTCACTAGGCCAATTCATCGCGATCGAGTTCACTCTTAACATCTTCGGTGTGGTAGTGGCCTACTGGTTGGAGTTTGGCCTTTCGTACATTGACAACAACGGAAGTCAGTTTGGCTGGCGGTTCCCTATCGCCTTCCAAATCCTCCCTCTCCTTGTCTTACTAGGCTGCGTCTGGTTCTTCCCCGAGTCTCCTCGCTGGCTTGTCAAGGTTGGACGAGACGATGAAGCCCAGTATATCCTTCGTCGTCTGCGTGGGTCGAGTGAGGCGGACCGTTCCCGCGCTCATGCTGAGTACACCGATATCAAGAACATCGTTCAGCTTGAGAACAAAGAGTCTTCTAAGAACTCATATTTGCATATGTTTTTCGGTATTGGATCAGGTGAACTCCATACTGGTCGACGTGTTCAACTGGTTATCTGGGTAAGTCTACATACCACTATCATGCCATGTAACTAACAAGGACAGCTCCAAATCATGCAAGAATGGGTCGGCATCGCCGGCGTAACAGTATACGCCCCTACAATTTTCAGGATAGCCGGGTTTGACACACGCAAATCCCAATGGATCAGTGGTCTCAACAACATCTTCTACATGTTCGCCACGCTCATCTGCGTCTACACACTCGATCGCATCGGCAGAAGATGGACGCTTTACTGGGGCGCTGTCGGTCAAGGAATAGCCATGTTCCTCGCCGCTGGGTTCTCCAAACTTGGCCAAGAAGCGCGCAATGCGGGTGATCTCGACAAGGCTAGCTCATATGGTGCTGCAGCAGCTTCCTTCGTCTTCATCTTTACTTCGGTCTTTGGAGCTACCTGGCTAACAGTTCCGTGGCTGTACCCCGCCGAGATCTTTCCTCTGCAAGTTCGAGCCAAGGGTAATGCTTTCGGTGTTTTCGGCTGGTCCATCGGTAACGGATGGTTGACCCTTCTATGTCCCGTCATGTTTTCAGCTATTGGCGAGAACACGCTTCATATTTTTGGAGCCTGCAACATCATAGCAATTCCCATGGTTTGGGCATTGTATCCTGAGAGTAACCAACGCACTCTCGAAGAGATGGATCTGCTCTTTGCAGCCGATACACCCTGGGTTTGGGACGCTGAGAAGAAGTTCAAAGAGCTGAAGGAGAAGCAACCTGGACTTGTTACTGCTTCTGCTCACAACAGGGATGTTATGGACGTCGAGCCTGGTGTCAAGGCTGGTTCTGGGGATGAGGTGAACATGAGTTCATGAAGAATGCGTTGTATGGCAGATTACTCTTGTTAGGTCCTGTATGCTAAACCTGTTATTGCAATTGATGTAATCACTACACACCATTCGTAAAGTGCACTCTAGATTGACTAGATAGAAATGGTCAAGCCAATGTCCATGGATGTTCGAGCAATCGAGGTACTGACAACAGTTTCCCCACTGTCCTCAGTTTCATGAGCACTACTCTGGGTGGCACTCTCAACCAATAAGATTCAGCCCCGTTGGCTCAGTGGTAAAGCGTATCACTAGTAACTTCACACGAAATGATAAGATCACTGGTTCGATTCCAGTACGGGGCAATTGGTTTATTCGACTTAATCTTTTGCTAATGTACCTAAAATCCATTTTTACCTCGACTTGCAGCAGGCACTTCGGCAGCTAATTGGTATATTCTTTTTGTCTTTCAATTTACTTCTCGAGATAGGGATGTAGTTATTATGTCTTCACCTTCTACCTCGACCATGGCATAGACTTGCATCTCCCATCAAACCAGCGCCTACAGTTCAGGCGGTGGCTTGAACTGCATCAGATCAATCCCAAAACTCGTGCCCGGTCCCTTCATGTACTTGATCGCCCGACACCACTCAAGTTCCCTCTTCATACCACGACCTGCAAAATAACCCAGCAACGTGGCTTGAGCATTACATGTTATTTGCGGACCGAATGTGCCATTCTCACTCCGGTAGCAATACTCAACACTTTGGCATAGCATACGCGCAATATGGTCAGCGTCTGCTTGATTCGGTGAGCCCTGCTCTTTATAGCCATCGAGGGTTTCGCCAAGAGATGATGAGGCATTCGAGCTTCCAAGTTTTCCGCGAAGAAGCAAGATGGTTTCAAGGATGTCCAACATGATGCTGGAGCAGAGGATCCACGGACTAGCCCCCTCCACAGACGAGAATATCAGAGCGAACGGAAATAGTCTATCTGGATATCCATCATCTGCTGGATTACTCGCTCTGGAGGGGACAGACCAGAATAGCGGCGTTTGGTTGCGTGCCGCTATGTTGCGGTGCACAAGGGCTCGCCAGTCGTCAAGAACATGGAACTTTTCAATTAGCAGGTTCGCGTATCTTAGTAGTTTTTCACGATCTTTTTCGTTGCTCAAAGCCAGGGTGTGCGCTTCCGCCATCACTGCGGGAATGTCAATGGCCATGTCGAGTAGTGCACCGAAGGACTCTGGGGCAGCCCAGGGGCCAATGTGCTTTCGCCAAAGGTTGGGTTCAAGGTTGAGAGGCTTCTTCTGCGACAGGGCTTGGATGACCTGGGATAGTCAGCAGACATTTCAGGGTTGCTCGGGGAACTGGTCTTACACATATCACGCAGAGACGTCGACACAAGTCATTCCAGCTTGAAGTGTTTGCTTCAGGTACAACTCGGTGACGAAGGATCTCGGATACACCTTGCGCATGGGCGTTCCAGCTTGTGCTTGCGTGGAACAGGAAAAGCTAATTAAGATCAGTGCGCGACTCTTCAACATGTCAAGAATCTTTCACTTACCTCGCACGTGGAAAGAATGACAATAGCGGCAAGACTCTCGTCATTGTTACCGATGCACGGACAGTCAAGAACGTGGATGACCTTGGAAAGTGCATGGTTGTATAGCTCAATGGCCTCGTCGTAGGTGACGCCCACTTCACCAGACAGCCTGATCTGAATCGCAACAAATGCAACAAGTGAGTGGTCCAGAGCCTCACTAGAGCCTTCCATATTACACACAGCCTTTAGCCAGGAGGATGGCGTTGAACTGTGATCCTCTTCGCTCGTCGTATACCGTCCTTGCGGAAAGTAAATGCTGACGGCGATTGAAAACGCTTGTGATCGAAAAGTCGGCACATCGTATATCTCTTTCGAATTGATTTGGCTACGCATCCGCTGTAACAAGCTCAACCAGTTGGTCTGCTGTTGTGACTGTATGACTGAGAGGGCAGAGACATTGCGCTGCGTCGGAGTCCGATGGACCCATAGGGTAGGTTGATTACGGATTCCTCGACAGATAATGCCGGCCTTGGTGCAACGCTGACACCGAGGCGACGTCAAGTCGCACTAAAAAAAAGTTGGTGATGAATAATTGTTAATAAGGGAGTGAGTCAGACCTTGACGCGACGTCTTTTGCAATCAGCGCATGCCTTGGATCTGGAAACACCAACCATGCTTATCAAGGAGGCTGAACAAAGAACACGTTCTCAAATTTCTCCATGAGGGATACGCTAGACTATATGTAGTACCATCCCTCGAGAGCCTCGACAGGGATATCTCCCACAGAAACTGCGTATAACGTGGCTCGAAGGGAAAGTTTAAGGGACTGAAAGGAAACGCAGCAGAGAGATGTCAGCTCGCGTTTTAGCGGGTATCCAAGGGCTAGAAGCCGAGAATCTAAACTGCATTCGGCATCATCCTTCGACATAACCGACAGGGATCAAAGCCTAGCGCTCAGACCGAGCACTCTCCGGACGAAGCTATCCTTCATTCGGAACCAACTCGCGAGAATTGGCCCAAGGGTCGAATTTGTAAGATAACGAGCATGATGTAGATCGTTGTGAGTTGAAGCAGCTATATAATAAGTAACTTAAGCATGTAGAGTATTTTTTTCGCATCAAATCACTCTTCTCTCAACCCGGAACACTTCAAACTTGGCCTTCAGCCTCCATAACGCAACAATGGCCGCCTCGGAACCAAGCCGTCGTCAATCCTTTTCATCCCCCGCCTCCGATGACGATCGCCCTTCCCAAATCGAGCAGTATAGCGAAAAAGCACCTTCGCAGCAAGAAGGGACATCAGCACCAGATTTTGGCCCTCCGCCTGATGGAGGGTTACAAGCTTGGCTAGTTGTTACTGGAGGCTTTTTTGCTGTATTTGTCAGTTTCGGGTGGATTAACTGTAGGGTACTCTTGTCTCATTGATGGCGAGGGGGATACTAACAACGGATTAGGTATTGGCATATTCCAAGATTATTACGAACAAAACCAACTCAAATCGTACTCCTCCAGCGATGTAGCATGGATTTCATCCATTGAGTCATTTATGCTGTTTTTCTGGGTACGTCTGGCTTCTGCTTATTCTTGATTTCAACTAACGATCGATAGGGCCCAGTGGTCGGTTACATGACAGATAATTATGGCCCTCGTATTCCCATCCTGATCGGCTCATTCCTCCACGTCTTCGGTCTAATGATGACATCGCTATCCAAGAAATACTACCAGATCATCCTGTCTCAAAGCATTTGCAGCGCATTAGGTTGTTCATTCCTCTTCTACGCACGCAAGTTCCCTTCCCTGAAGCTTCACATATGCTGCTGACAATATGTAGCTATCGCCGCTGCTGGAACATGGTTCAAGCGTCATCGCGCGATCGCCTTTGGAATCATTACCGCGGGATCCAGTCTCGGCGGTGTAGTCCTTCCGATCATGGTGAACAAGCTTGTTGTCCGTGTTGGCTTCGGTTGGGTGATGCGATCCGTGGCATTCCTTTTCTTGGGACTGCTAGTCATCGCAAACGTTACTATCAAGTCGAGGCTGCCGCCCCCGAGAAGAAAGTTTGACATCAAAGACTTCATCACCCCGTTCAAGGAAATGCCGTTCCTTCTTTTGACTGTCGCTGGATTCATGCTCTACCTCGGCTCCTTCTTACCGTTCAACTTTATCATTGTCCAGGCGAAAGAACTCGGTGTGTCGGATAGCCTGGCTCAATATTTGGTATCCATCGTCAACGCCGCTTCGTAAGTCACGGTCACGCTGCCTCGACTACCCTTCTTAACATCGGCTGACAAAACAGCACCTTCGGCCGTCTTGTTCCGGCATATTTCGGCGACCGAATCGGCGTCTACAACGTCATGATTCCTTTGACCATACTTGGAGGCATCTTCACGCTAACAGTATGGCTCACTGCACACTCGACAGCTTCGGTCATTGCATATGCCGCACTATATGGATTCGCATCTGGCTGTACCTTATCTATCGTACCAGCCATGGTTGCTAGTTTCTCAGATGTTCGAAGCATAGGAACTCGCAGTGGCGCGCTCTACGGTGTTGCCGCAATTGGTGTCCTCATCGGAAGCCCTGTGGCTGGGGCCATTGTCAGTGCAGAGGACGGCAATTTCTCTGGACTGATCATCTTTTGTGGTGTTACGATTCTGGCCGGTGCCGTGTTTGCTATCATGTCGAGACAGGCGTTGACTGGAGGCCAATGGATAAAAAAGGTTTAAACCAACAGCTTTATTCCTGTCCTATATAAGGCCATAGTTGCGACGGGACAAATGGCAATAAAAAGAAAGATTGCCCTATGTTAAACAGGGTTCGAACTAAAGCATTAACCAAGCTGTCAGACCCACGTAAGTAGTGCCGCCATGCGTTCTCAACCCTGTAGATCCCCACACCTACTTCGAATTTGTGGACACATCGATGCAAAGCCACAGTGCCATTAACATCGCCCCCAAGCAGTTAAAGACCTTCAAATTCTCAAGCACAAAATTCCCCCAAGGCGACACAGTCGCGAGACTAACAGAAGATCCGTTTCTCCCTCCATCCGAATCGTATTCCATTGGCCACCGATTGATCATTTACTTTCCATGCCAGTTTTCCGATAGCGGGGACCTCGACCCCACGACCAACCACCAGTCGCGACAAGCATGGATTCCGCGGAGAGCACCCCAGTCGAGCCAGCCCACAAAGGCATCCTCAGAGACGAGACAGTAATGCTCCGATGGATTTTTGGCTATTGCCGTAACGCTCAAGTAATCAACGGCATGAGCTGGCCCGACATACCGCAGACATCTGTCCCACGAGGGTTTTATTCAGACATCAAGGACCTAGGATTTCTCAGCATTGATGTTGATCATTTCAGGGTTGAAAATGGTGTAATACAACGAGTCGAGATTGGTTTGTCATTCATCAAAGCACAAGCTTTACAACAATTACACGGCAAATCTACGCAAGGCAGGGACTTGGCATCTGGTGTCATCAAATCTCATCATTTAGTGTTTGGCTCCAAAGTCGCATTCTCATGGAAAAATTACCACTTTTTATTTGGGAAGGCAAGGCCGATTAAGATGTGGCACGTCAGAGCCGAGCTTGAACGGTTCACTAAGAAGCCTTACATTCTCGTTGTTCATGAGGGAAAGCAGGAACTTTCACTGCTCTCACTGCTGAACATAAAGCTTGAACCCGTCTTCATCATCGACACTGTCAAAGCAGCCCAGTTTCCACTGCAGCTGTGGTACAGAAACAGCTTGAAGCAGCTGCTGGAGGAGTTCAAGGTACCCTACGCGCATCTTCACGTAGCAGGAAATGATGCACAGCTCACGCTACGAGTGCTTCTCATGATCGCCGTCAGAGACGCTGAGGTCCACTTGTCAGGGAAGCGTCTACCTGACTGGGTTCCGATCTTCAAGGCTGTTGCTCAGTCTCCGTTGCCCCCAAGACCCCCGACTAAGCGAGAGATAGCGGCCATGGCTGAAGCCGAAGCTGAGCGGCAGACGGCGATCGAGGGAGGAGAACCGTAGCGTTCGATTATTGCGAGCGTCTTTACCCACAAGGCCAGTCAAGCTTGCTTACCCCTTATCGGCGGAAGCCGAGATTGTGCCAGTGCGTAGAAGGCTCTGGGATCGATGCTGAACGAAAACGGCCTAAATTCTTTTCATCGCAGGTTTTACACAGCGGAGTCAGCATTCGAGGAGGTGGTACAAAAGAAGCTTGATGCAAACAATGCATAAAAATACTAATTGAATGGGTGTCATTTCTATGTACTCCAACCTTTTATCATGTCCTCTGAGCGCCGTAGAAATAAGCATGTGATATTCATTGTTCAATTTGGTGGTCGCTTCTGCAACTCCTTCCGTCCCCTATTTTATTAATGCCTGAAAAGCCTTTAGTCTCTGTCGTTCAGGAGGGGTTCCCCTTCGACGCCCTCATCTTGAGTTTCGTCCTGACCCTCATGCTTCTCAATCAATGTGCTTCCCGGAGGCGGGAAGTTGGAGAACAAGAGAACCACCATGGCCAATAAAGCAATAGCCTAGTACCTGATTAGTTGTATTCGCCGAAAGCTTATACAATAGTAACTTACCGCATTGCAGAAGAAAGTGGCATATGCTTTGCCAACCTCAGCCAGACTGGCAAAGATGAAGCCAAACAATCCTTGAGTAGCTAGTCGCGCTACGTTCTCAACCAAGGTAACTGCATTGAGAGCATCGGCGCGCTGCGAGTCGGGACACATCTGCGTAATGACACCTTTTGCTGCTGGCGCTGATCCGGAGCCGAAAGGGAGAAGAAAGGCAGCTATTTTGTTAGAGTAATGTTCAGTAGGGAGTTGAAAAGACGTACCGAGGTAGATATGCCACGGCTTAGTAGCAAATGCAGCAACTGTAGTAAGCAGCCCATCGACTAACAAGCTCCATCTAAGGAAAACAAGATCAAAGAGACATCCCTCGTCCTCTTTGCTGCGGCTGACTGCCTCGTACGGCTCATGATCAGCCTGCTCTCCCAGCGTAGCATCAAATTCTCCAGCCTCCGTTGGTATATGCCCCGGTTCCGCCTCATCATCGCTGTTTGGTTCAGATCTGATGACACGGCCTCGTCCCCAAGCGATGATCCTCGGGAATAGTAGAATCAGGAAGAAGCTCCTCATGAACGCAAATTCCGACATGAGCCAACCGTTGTCTCCTTGGCTAAAGTTGAACGCCGCTGTTGCGTACATCTGGATGAGAAGAGGGGCATAGCCTGTGGCGAGAACGGAAACGAATATGCCGCTGCAGAGGAAGATGACGCCGAGATGCCTCTTGACTCTCCCGTCAGCGAGGCGCAATCTCTGCGGTGTGAGAATTTTGAGGGGCGCGAGAAAACCAGAGACGCCCTTTTGACCGTTCTTTCCTCCATTGGACATTGAATCAGGTGAGATATATGGCAAGGCGCACCACACGTAGATACCCGCGAGGATGAAGGAGATGAACGCCACGTCGAAAGGAGCTCGGATATCAATCGCGTCACCAATCATACCACCACTCAAGTATCCAATCGCTTGGCCCAACATGATGGCACCTTGCAGCTGTCCAAATACTGCTGTCCGTCTGATAGGTTCGACAACTTCTCCAGCAATGACGTTGACAACAAGACTAAAGCCAATGTTAGCGGTTGGAAAACGTGAGTTCGTGGCTGACTTACATGTACCCAGCTGGCCCGCCCAGAATTGTGATCAGTTGAGTCGCTTGGATAATTATCATTCCTTTTTCTCCACCTGCTACTACTCCCAAGATTTGTGTGACCACGCGAGCTGCCGGGATGAGAATCTGACACAAAAGTGCTGCTCGGGGGCCGAACTTTTTCGATGTCCAGCCAGCAACAAAAAGGTTCAGCGTTCCTTAAAAGAGTCAGGATCGCATCGGATATTTGACTTGCAATTGACTTACCACAGAAGGTAGTAGACATGCCAAGAATACTGTATTGGGTTGCCGTTCCAGCCGCAATTTCATCCCGACTGCACCTATCGCCCGGACCATCATATGGAGGATGCGTCTCATAAAACGAATCACAAGTCATCAAATGAAACACATAGAACAATCTATCGATCGTTAGCTTCATCAATAGTCAACTGACAAAAAGACTCACGGAACTTGGGTAAAACTGAACGATAACGTGATGAGAAACCCCGCAAGCAAAATCCGATTCTCGACATTAAAAGCTCTCGATAGCCAATTTCTCACTCGTCCTTTGCCTTCCCCCTTTTGGGGGAGAAGTGGTGTTGTCTCGTCACTCGCCATTTTCGAGTAAAAATACAATGCCAAGTTCAAAAGAACGAGGCGAAAAAATCTTCGATGATAAATACAATTGCGAGATCGCTGTCAATCATTCGGTGAGAGGGGGGTATGGATCTCTTTCTTAATGGGGAATAGCGTAGTTAATCGACCGGGATTACTCGGTTATAGCTGTTATCGAGACGACGTTATCAATGGAATATCAGAGAAACGTTACGATACTTAATGTTTTGCTTGTAGTTGAGACTCTTTGATTTACATCTTGTTAATAAATATTCTGAGGTTAGCGTAAGCTTACTGCCCAACAAGTATCCCAACACGGATAACCATTCTCGAACCATATATCGCTACGATTCCCAATCTCCAGGCGATGTATGTCCTGCAACGAATCACCATATATCTTATCAAGCAAGTCCTCATTACCTAATGCCTCTTTAAGCTTAGGACACGCCTCCAAAAGATCATCGACGTCTTTTCTCGTAACTCCCTCTGCCCACCACAGGTTCATACAACCCAAGTTCCTCACTAGCTTCAATCTCTCAAAGACATCCTTGTTCAACCAGAAATCTCCATCTAACCACCTCGTCTTCAGTGTCAACCTATGTGCAGATAGGAATCTAGCCAGAGCGCGATCCAGGTCGATCGAAGTTGCCCCATGAAAGAAATTGCCGAGTTGATTGTCATAAGTCTGCGACAAATGTTCTCAAACATGCCTGGCTCGACATGGCTATTATGTCTTGGACATGTAGAGGAAAGTCTGGGCCCAAGATCAAATGCTCCAGGGCTTGCATGTGGGGAAAGAACTAGCTCAGGACACTTCCGTGGTAATCCAAGTTGTCGAGGTACAGCAACTTGAGTGACGAGCCTGAGGCTTTGCAGAATCTCACCAGATCTACTGCAGTTATCCCTTCGCAGTCAAGCTGAGTATGCTGATGAAGGTTCTTGCCTGAAACCTACTTCTTTTCTGAATGATTATGTCAGTGTCTATCGTGATGGAAGTATATGTTACCAAGCCCGGTGATATCGTCTCGCCAACAACTGAAAGCTTTCTGTTGAGGTTTTTCCAACTGAAAAGATGAGGCAGAAGCAGTATTTATAGAAAACAAGAAGCTAAATATGCTTTTTTTTTATTAGCAAAATCGCTCAGATTTATCTTACATGGCAATGTATTCAATTACCTGCGCTGAGGGCGATTTCCCTAGAGACTATTCTAATCCATGGTCTACGATGCCTTGTACTTTGTTGCTATTAGGCTTGGGATCTGGCTGTAGGTCAGGCCTTCATCCGCAAGATGGTTGATACTTGTTATGCTGTACAGTCTCATCAATTTTCGCTGTTACCCGTGCATAATATCAAGGGGTATATGGATGTTCGTAGAAGTAAACGTGATGTTGTTACTATAAACTAATGATACAGGAGTGATTTATGCAGATGCCGACTGGAACACAGGCCTTGCTATAACCATCTTACCGTCCCCATGGGATGGTGTACACTTCCCCAGCTACTCTCCACTGCCTCTAAACTATCCTCCTTGTACTTCATAGTCGCCAAGGTGCACTCAGTCAAGAACTCCTTGACCACCATTAGTCCTGTTTCTGACTGTCCAAGCTTCGGACATGCGGTCAGAAGACCTTCAATCTCTTCTTTTGTAGGTATATCATGCAGCTGTACCCGAAGACTTTCCAGATTCTTTGCCTTGTGAAGGTGCTTAAAAATATCCATGCCGAAGTTCCAAAAGTCGAATTCTTCATCTATGATGAAGGTGTTGAGAGTCGCAGAGTGAGCATTAAAGATGTCGATGATGGCTTTATTGATTTTCTCTGAATTTGCAAGCGGGTCGTGTTTGAACACCGCATCATCCACCAGCCATCTGAATGCTTTGAGGCGTGGAGCGTCCGTCTGAGCAATAGCCTGGATGTCTGACAGGGGGAATCTCGATTGCGGACCCAAACTAAGCTCTTCCAATGCTGTAAGATGGGGCAGTAGATGGGAGAGGATGCCATCGCGAAGATTCCTGGCTGGGAAGTCGTTGATGTAAAGAGATCGTAATATTTTTCCCCATGTTTTGCATCCAGTCTCCAGATCTTCTACCCAGATTTGTTCAGCCCCAACTATATTCAGTGTCTCTAAACAGGGAGTACGGTCAGATAGGTCCTGAAAGAAACTTCCTCGATAGCCCCACATGTCAAGAGTGAACGACTTCAGATTTGGGAGATCGAAGGTAAGAATCTCGATGGGGTATTCGAATAGGCCAACTACTTCCAAGTGGCGAAGCTGCAGCGCAAAATCTGCGAATTGCAGCGCAAACTTTCGGATTTCCTGTTCAGTCCCGGTAAGACCGGTATCTTCATGGCGACACAGGTGGAACTCGAACTCTGTAACCTTGGGACAAGCAGCAACTAAGTTACCCATCTGTTCTAGAAAGTTCTGGGGAGGCAAGCCTCGCCAAACCAGTCCAAGATGAGTCAGGTTGGTACAGAGCCTAAGAGTCTCTAGCCATGCTTGGTACTGGTAATAGTGTGGCCTGAAGTCGCATTTCATTGACCGGATAGTATGGGCTCTACGAGGCTCAACAGCCAGAGCGAAGCAAAGCAGCCATTGTGGTTTGATTTCGATCGATAGTCGCCTGGATTGTATGTTGGTATATAGGTGCTCCTCGCAAAGGATCTGGAAGACTCTACAGGTAGATGCCAGAGATCTTAAAGTATGGGCACGTATTTTCATCTCCTTTGGGGACTTCCCACGCCTATCATTGACGAGGCATCTAATTATCATGGCATAGATCTCTGTAGGCAACCGAGACACCATATCCGTTTGTGAGTCAGTAAGACATTTCCGTACCCTTGTGTTGATCTCTCGTTCCTCGGGGAAAGCCTCACTGAACCGAGCGAAACCAAATTTTTGACATATGCTAAGAGCTGCTAGGGCTCGTCTCTGTGCATCTCGGTCGGTCTCTCTTTGTTCTGATATAGTGCATAGGGTGTTTGCGAGTGTCACCAAACTCTTCGCGGTCGGTGCTTTCCGGGGATCAGCCCTGCGAGAGTGAACGGCGATGGGCATTCTGTCCTGCAGTTGGATTTGTTACGTGAGGAATTTGCAAGTTGAAAAGAAGTTTGTTTGCGGTTGTAAGTAGGGACAAAATTTATAGTCCTTGGTGGTTTTTTCATGCATTTATAGTATCAGTTTGGTTGAATGACTTTATAATATGAAAAGGATAATTTTGTATTTGAGAGTTACTTTTGGAGGTCATCGGGACGCTTTCAGGTAACTATCAAATGATATGAATAATGCTGAACAACATTCCTGGTATTCGTTAGCCTTGGAACACTGAAGTCTCTTGACTCCCACCATTTAGCAAAAGTGAAAGGAACTCAGAAATACATCCAGGCCGCAAACTCAGTGAAAACTTGCTTGGTTCATGAGGATATTTTCCTGAGTCAATACAATGTGACAAACAATAAGACGTCAAGGGCGGTGGTGCTAACAGAGAATCGAGAATTGCAAAAAAGGATAAGGGACTCAGAATTCATTATTGCGCCGAGCCTATCCGATTATGTCTATTGAAGGTTCGGTAACCTAATACTTGTTCAAGGCATACTTCCTTACCAAGTGTCTTCAACCGTGAGTGTTCAAGAGCCCCTAAACAGTGTTTCAAGGCTGAAGTCCATAGCAAAAACAACCAATCAAATGGTCCTTGGTAACTTCTCGGATCTTCGAGTCTGAAACCTTATCCTGGTTTTGCTGGCTCTGCCACAGCAATTCCTCATTTCAGCCACAGTTCATCAGTCAATCATAATCGTAGAGCTTTTCGGAAAAACACCCAGGGCGATCTGCCTTTGCGCGAGGTTCCTGCAGATGACGTGCCCGAACCCCACATCACGACATGTCGCGCCATGGAGAGTGGACTAGGGTCGTGATGACTGAGAGTCAGAACAGTACTGCATTCGTCATTTGTAATAAATATTGCAATTAGTAAATCTGACTAATACCTCTAGTTCTCTCAGCTCCCGCCTCACCGCTATCCTCCGGTAACGGCTCGTCGGCATACGATATTCGACGGAGGAATCGCACAATTTCGCATTACAAATGCGCGATCAAAACGAGACTGTATATATGGACGCATTTACCATCCTGAACTGGGAATTGAAAAAGCCATAGTAGATACTCGAGCCTTTCACTTCACGCTACCAATTTACGCCGCCAAAATGCCTACCTCTCTCTACGACCTCATTATCCCCACCTTCATCAAGGGTCTCCAAACCTTTGACCACGTTCTCACAAAGGCGGAGCAATACGCCAAAGAAAAGGGACTCAACGCCGATGAAGTTTTCCCTCAAGCCAGACTCGTTGACGATCAACTTCCCCTCGTCTTCCAAGTTCAGAATGCCACCAAGGCTGTTCAGGTCACCATTGGCCGCTTAACAGGCGTTGAGCCCACATTCTTCCAGGACAATGAAAAGACCATTGCCGACCTGCATGCCCGAATCCAAAAGGCCCTCGAGGCTGTGAAGAGTGTCAAGCCTGAGGATGTTAACTCACGAGAGGATGTCAAAGTGGAGCTGTAAGTTCTGCCTCAAAAGTATATACTGTGACATTTCACTGACCCTTGAAAGCCCCCGACCCGACAAGACTCTTCATCTTACGGTCAAGGAGGCTACACTGTACCATGGCCAAACAAACTTCTTCTTCCATATCGTCACTGGCTACTCTATCTTACGTTCAAAGGGCGTGCCTATTGGAAAGGGTGATTATCTTGGAAGCTTTCTTGCTCAGTAAGTGGAGCAGATGGAACCTAGAATAGACAAATGACCAAATGGCTTTCCACATGGCATGTTTACGTGTGATAAGGTCCTAAATATCTTGAACAGTGACAAGTACAGTTATCGGTCAAAGCTTTGAACGTGAAAAGATCATGAATCCAAGCGGCGAAGACTCCGGAATTGGTCAGTTATCGAGTTGCCTGTGCTAATAATCCACTAGACCTGGCATAACTAATAGTCTCTAAGTAATTCAAGAAGCGAGTCCTTCACAGAAATCTGGTCCATCGCTAGTCATTATCATGTAACATAACATGTTTGTGGCCACCGGTAGCGCCAAGAACACAAACTTGCGCCTCCGGGGCGCCGCCGTGCTTCTATTACGCTACGAAGGGTCATCATTGAGCATAAAGTAAACAATTTTGCAATTCTCGAATATCGCTTTATTTCTTAAGCTTAACCTCGCCTTGCGGCCACTTCGGGAACAAACCCATTCTACTCTGTATCAGCCTTTTTGCAGCCAATATGAGGCCAATACCAGTCTTCACGGCCATATTCGGCCTCACAGCACCGTCGTTTGCTTTGTCTAACTATACCGCCAGTGCAAAATCAACAATAGAAAGGGTATTCGCTGCCATCGGTGAAGCGGGGCTCTCGAAACTGCACAAAGTAACTTATGAATGCCAAAGGTGAATCCCATCGTCAATACGTTCCAATCACGCTTATAAAGTCAGAATATACCGTTCTCGCAGCCTTATGCAAAACTATAACCTCATGCGCGCAGATGTATCAGCGGCAACATCCGGATCGCAGAACATCTCTTATGAAGTAGACTGGCCATTGATTCGGCAGCGTATTGACCGCCGTGTACAGCCTTCACGTGAGTACAGCATGCAGGCTTTGTGGCAGTAACTGACAACTTAGACTCGTGGGGATGGGCATCTCCTCAATTGGAGCCCTTGGAGTTCTCTCTCGTGGTTCAAGCTGGCGAAGATGACTTTGCTTGCTTTGTTAAAGGGAACAACGAAGTCTTCCTTCCCCGGAACTCTACATCTGGCTGTGTAGATTGTATTATTTGATTCTTCGATCTAAGTGGGATGCTTGCTGACTTCCGAAGCTGCATTGGCTCATAATCTTGTTACTGAGGCTCTCATGATGTCTCCTGGTTTTGTTGAGCGGGTGAGTCGAGTACACAGTCGAACCTTCAGGTATCATGCTAATACATCAAGATTCGACAGTCGAAAAGTTCCGAAGAATACGAGGTTGATATCAATGGCATCAAGTTTCCGGCTGGTAAGTCCCCAGGCTTACATCCAAGCAGTTTGCTGAAAATATGTAGTTTATAGCAATCTCGACAAGCTCCTCCTCATCGTCGACCCGGAGACATATCTACCATATATCATCCGCACGGAAGAACAACATCCGATCTATGGATATGCCACAAAGGACGTATACCTTTCAAACTACAAAGAGGTACGGGGAATCCAATTCCCCCACACTATTCAGACTATCTACAACTCATCTAGCCAACGGCTCGGCGTAGTTCTTGAAGACTTCGTTATTGACAAAATCAACGCTACGGCGGAATTCCCTAAAGACTTTTTCGATCCTGGTCCCGACGGACAGAACAGAATTATGCAAAAGAAGACTCCTGGTGTTCCGAGCGGTCTTGTCACAGATTACAGCACGAGTTTGCTCGGATCACCAGTCAAGAATGTCAGCGTTGATGCTTTGAAATCAATAAGGCCTGTTGATCTTCTTCAGCTGTACTGGCTTATCATCGATGATAGCCATGATCTTGGGTTCAAGCAGCTTATTATTGAGTTTGAGAATGAGGTTATTGTGTGCGATGCACCGCCCTTCTGGAGTGAGGCCGCCATGGAGTGGATAAAGAAGACTATTGGGAAGAAGGTTACCTACGTCGCGGTGCGTATATCATGCCATGATTTGTCAGTTCGCTAACAGTCTAGCCTACACATCATCACCGCGATCATAGTGGAGGGGTAGCCGATTACGTCCATGCTGGTGCCAAGTTGATCATCCCTGAGATGGCAGTGGATTACTGGTCCAGCGTCCCAGGGGCCCAGTTCATCACCTTCAAGTAGGTTGACCCTCCTTCATAGACTTTTGCTGACAGATTTTAGTCAAACACACCCTTACGTCCACCGCGACAATAAGATCCAGGCCTGGTTCAACTGGGCTGATCAAGCTCCTCATGCAGCTGACTGGACTTATGTAATGGTTACAGAGCAATGTCCTAATAAAGACTCACCTATTTTTGTGTTCGAGGCTGATACCTGGGAAGCTGGACTTAGCGTTGATTTGGGCAATCAGCAGCAGATGAGGCAGTGGTTGGATCAGACCCTAGATGATGGTCTTCCCAGATCTGCGACGTGAGTATTCCTGATCTCGACTGGATTTGGCTGACCGCCTATAGTGTGATGCCTACGCATGGTAAGATCACACCTTTGGAACAGCTGATCAACATTACAGCTTATCCTTACCCTGATTTTGACATTAGTCGCTGGAGGAAGCGTGCAGCGCTGTGTAATGAGTCGTCTGTGAAGAAGAATAAAGATGATTAATGATATGAGTTTCTGATTAGTCAGGTACTGCATCGGGTCCTACACGAGTAGTACGTTGTCTGGAGTTGACAATCTACCCTTCAAACACCCTCTCCTCCTCAATCTCTTGCAAAATCGTCAACTAACAAATAATCTATGCTTTGCCGTTTTCACTGGCCCTTGGAGTGAATACCATATCCAACCTCGGCAGTTCCAAAGTATAACAATCCCTCAAACCATCGATGAAAGCCTGTGGACTAGTACCTGGTGCAAAACCAATATCATATCGTGACAGAATATCCATGAGAACGTAACGCATCTCCATAAGGCCAAGTTGCTTTCCAGCACAAACGCCACGGCCTATCTTGTCAGCTACTTCCTACGGTCCGGATAATAAGAGACTTACCAGTTGAAAATGGTGCATAGACAGAAGCATCCTTGATCAGCTCGGGCTTAGTAGTCCATCGCTCTGGAATAAACTCATTCGGCTTCTCGAAGCAGCGCTCATCTATAACCAGTCAGCAACAATGCCATACAAGCTAATTATTAACCATACCTCTATACATAGTGTAAGAAGGGTTATGTAAAATGGTATCCCCAGGTATGTAAACACCATCAATTTCCATTCCTTCCGGTGGTGTCATCCTTGGAAGGCCTGACGGGACAACCGGATAGAGACGAAGAGACTCGTCGATACAAGCTTGTAGATACTGTAGCTTGCCTAGCGAGATTAGGTCAGATTCCTCATGCGTAATCTTGTAATCGTCAATCTCGGCTTGGAGTTTAGCTAGCACATCAGGGTGTAACGCAAGATTGTGCAGGAGACAAGTCGTGGACGAGGAAGTGGTGTCACTGAGATGTTAGCGCGATACCTCTACGTCCAAAGTCTAGTCTTACCTGCCCGCGATGACAATCAGATGAGCGTCGCCGCAAAGGTTATTGTAATCTTGCTCTGTTGGTTTCTCAATCGCATCGTAATCCTCCAGAATGCAGGTGAACACATCTGGTTCCTCCGGTTTATCCTACTCCGATCAGCAATGGCCTTACTCACTCCCAACATACGTACCTTTCGTCGGGTCTCAACTTGGTCCCTGATGAAAGCCTGGAAGGATAGATAGGAACTATTTACGATTGGGATCGCGGTAACAAGAGGGAAGAACCAAATGAGTCGTCGAAACGCGCCCAAAAGACCTTGTGACTTGTGGGATTCTGTAAAGAACTTGTGTTCTACGCCATTTTCAAGCATATTGAAACTCTTTCCAAAGGCTAGATCACCCATGATGTCGAAAGTGTAGAAGTTGACCCATAAAGATACGTTGAAAGGTTTGCCTTTCATATCGTCGATGCGATCGGTGAGAAGTTTAGTGTACTTGAGGACTCGGTGTTCGTAGTCTTTAAGTGCTATTACTTGTGAGATTTAATCGTTTGATATAGGGCAGAGGGCTCTGCACCTTTTGTGGTGAACGCCCGGTCCCAGGCTTTGCGACGGTTCGCATGTTGTCTTTTGCGTCGCTCGGCGAGGAGATTTGTCCACGGATGAGAAATACCATAGAAAGGCGCTTTAGTCACTGGTGACGCGGTAGCGTGAATGACACGGAACGAACTTGGTGTTGCGATTGAGATCTCAGTGGGCCCTTGAAAATGTTAGTCGAAAGATTGTTTGGAGTTTGTATGAGCATACCAATTCTCACAATATCTCCGTACTTCTCATGAAGTTTCTGGACTTCGAGATACATATGCTCTTCATCAACCGCAAGATAAGTAGGATAGAAAGCTGAGAGGCGTGCGAGAAAAGGACCGGGGAAGCGGTTCAGTCGGTGAAAGAATGCTCGGTACACCAGGATACTGATTGAGAGCCCCGTAGCAAATGATGCAAACCATTTATTGGTGACTGATAGAGCTTGCCAGACTGAGAATGAGTAGAGTTGGGTGAGAAACAATGAGACAGTGACCTCATACGTTGCCCATGCCTTTATGAGCTTGACGGTCCAGAGGTCCCATTCTCCTTTACGTAGAACAAAGACATGCACGAGCACTCCAAGGAGGAACGCGGCGCCAAAGGCCTGCGGAGTCTCAAGATGAGCTTCAGTCAACAGCATACTGGCGGCAAACGTATTGCGCAAAGCAGGGTGCGACAGCAGGAAACAACTCCCATTTCTGAGACACTGCCAGCTTCTTGTATCCAACGTCCGCTCACGGGACCAGGCTCTAATGACGAAATAGGTTGCAGGAACTTTTGGGGACCGATATTGTTTACAGGTTGTTGTCAAAAAATGGGTTGCAGTGAGCGCCTTGGCGAATTACCAACCAGCGAATACGCTTATTCAACGTCTGTTTAATCCCTTTGTAGGCCTATGCAGCGCGCTCGGCATAATGTCTTGGCTAAATTACATCAGTGCATGCTTTACCGGCGGGTGATGTGATGGCCTTCTGCAGGATACTGATATCATTGCTTTGCGATTGGGCTGCGAGCGGACATGCTGCATGGCTGTTTGCATATACAGCGGCCGCTAGATGCTCGAAATGGGCGTGCAGCCGAGACATGATGTGAGGATTTGCAGATCTGGATAATCCTTCCGAAAAAGAATGGAGGGAGAAGAGACAGCATTGACATTCCGGTCCGCTTCATAAGGTAGTTTGTTCAGGAATCGGTACTCTGTATTGCCGGTCTTCGGCGTATCGTGTTGTGAAACATTTCATGTGAAGACAGTGAGGATGCATGAGGGCGGCGTAGAAGGCCCCAGACACCAAAGACGCGTTCAGAGAGTACGTTCTGTTTAGGTCATTTCCTAATCCAGCGTCGCAGAACACGACTACACATTGCCACTTGGCAGCCCGATTTTGACTGTGTATAGCACACTTGATTGGCTCGCGCTGTCGCTCCGGAGGATCGGATGTTGTCTATTCCGTTACACAGTACTATTCAACCTTGGGACGCATTGAATTGATACGAGGCACTCAATGCCATTGGTTGTAGTCATTATTCGCTATCCAATGGGCCTGTATGACGGGAAACGGGTTATTTTATGACTGGCTCAAGAAGCAATAGAAGATCAAATAAGGTGCTGATATCTCACTTTTATTTCAGGACGTCAGTTCCTGCGAATCATATCAGTCAACCAGCGGGTTAGCGCCGGCTCCGATTGTCAGCACTGTTGTGCTACCGAGAGCTATGCAGCACGAGAAAGAATTTTAACAAATGTTCCGGCGGGGAACCTTCGCGAAAACATTCGCTCCATCCTCGGAGCCCAGAATCGTGCTTTTATGAATCGGGTGCTGCAGGTCAACTGGCGGCAGTTGTCAACGGTTGTCGAAAATCCTTGGTGCTAATGAGACTGCGGCTTAAAACTTCGCCTATGATTGATTGATCACGAATTAAGTTTCAATCCATTAAGCGAAGTCGATAACTTGGCATCGTAACTAACCAAAAGCCGTTTAGCTAAGAGTCTCCACGGAGATAGCGATTTATGATCACCACGGAGCATCACGGCTCAACCTCCGATCCAAAGAGGGGTTTAACATCACAGAACCTTGGTGACCAATTGACAGATGAAACTCCTTCTCAACAAGCATCATTATGACCATTAGAAAAGCCACGAAAATTATATTTTCTTATAAGTAATAGCCTGAAGTTCTAGACTCTCAAAATATTAACCAATTCGTATTTTTCGTGAATGGTAAAAAACATCGGCTTCCCCTCCGATATGAGCTAAACCTCACTGACTCAAAAACTCCGTCTTTCTGCGGATCCCAGAACCATAACGGGCCTAAAACCCCGGATTTTCCTCCACCCACGATGGCACCTTATAAATCTGGTCCCGAGAGTTCGGCCTCCAAACGACGAGGCTTTTTTAAAAGATTGATGATGACCTTTGCCCCTCTTGTTTCTGGTTCCCCGCTTCCAAAACGGCCGAGGCAGAGATAAGAACGACTTCTCTTTTCATCTCGTCGTTTGCTTCAAGGCTGTTCGAGCACCCTGAAGTTCAGGATGATCTTGCGACCGTTGTAGACAGACACACAGTAAGCGATACTGGGACGGGCTCAACATCATGGCCGGGCTGCAGCCCGATATCTACGCAGCCATCAGCATCACTTGGGCCGCGGCCTCTCTGGCCCTTGGTCTACGACTCAAAGCGCGACGAATGACAAAAATGAACCTCTGGTTCGACGATTACTTCGCGATCATTGCCTTGGTAGGTTTTGCTTGCAAAAGCGATCACTATGCGTACGTGCTCATTTTTTGTCACAGCTTTTCGTATCAGGTTACTGTTCCGTCACTATCTACTGTACGTACGACATACCTCAACTCCGACCGCAGTCGCTTACCTCGTCTAGGGACACATAGCTACAAACTCGGCCAGTCCATCCTCGCGATCGAAGACACCATTGAAGCAAGCCGTATTCAAGACCGGTCGCGACTTCTACTCTGGATCTGCGAGCTTCTCTATGCCTCATCGATTGCCTTTTGCAAGCTCAGTATTCTATGCTTCTACTGGCGCGTCTTTCAGTACACCTCAATTCGATACGCCATCATAATCTTGCTTATCGCCGTCAGCATATGGATAACTATTCGGACGTTTATGGTCATCTTTCACTGCGTACCAATTCGAGCATATTGGGATAAGAGCATACAAGGCGCCAAATGCCCGTTTAACGAAGCGAACTTTTTCTTTGCTACGATTCTCATACATACGACTATGGATTGTGTGATTTTGATTCTACCTGTCATTGAGGTTATGAAGATGACGCTACCTTTATCGCAAAAGTTGGCCGTTGTTGGACTTTTTACATCTGGAACAATGTACGTTGAGCTTCTCTTGGTAATTTGCTGGTCTAACGCCGTACAGAGTCTGCGTTGCGTCGATATTTGTTTTGGTGCATTCAAAATTATATAACCCTCGAACCGACGACATTCCGAAAGATATGGCACAGAACATGATGTGGGCGGCTGTCGAGATAAACATGGCAGTTTTCTCCGGTACGCATTGATCTTGTCCTTGATCTTCACCGAGACTCCTTCGCTAACGGGATCATGTAGCATGCCTTCCTATGCTACGACCCATTTTTCGTCACTTTCTTCCAGGACTCTCCACAACCGAAGAGTCAGCCCAAGTACCTATCAGCTTGCCAAACGTTGTCCTCCCCGGAGTAAGGTTAACGGAGACAAGATCAAAGAAGCGGGAGTCTCGGAGGTCAGGCATGTCTCATGGGCTATATGATCCGGAGTTGGGTGTCTTTCATGGATTTTCGGATATATCAAGCATCAGAAGCGTGGCGTCCAGGTCAGACAGCGACTCAACGCCAAGGAACACATAATATTAATAACATCTTCACATTTCGAACCTTGCCTTTCTTAAGGTTCATCACTTCCAATCAAAGTCGTGGCATAGTAATGGTCCAGCGTGATATTATTCTTTTGTTGTAATAATCATATCTTCAACTTTTGGAGGACTTTTACTATCAAATATGCCGAGCTAGTTTGTGGACATCTTCGGCGGGGTCGATACTCTAATCCATGTCAAATGGGGAGCAAAGAAGAAACGGATGTCTTCCATACTCACCCCTACCAGCTGCTCGTCGCTGTATGCAATCTGAAACCCAGTTCACCCTTGCAGGACTTGGAGTTCGCTTGCTAGCACTTATCTCGTTCGCTTCCTGTGAGTCCTTCTAAAGTGGCGAACCGCTACCAAGTTCGCTTTACATGTTAAAGCGTCCTGAGAGCATTGCCTTGTCTTCCAGTGGCTCCAAAATACCCACCGTGATGTTTGGGCTTCGTGAATGTATCCTGTAGATGTAGCTTGCGTCTTTGTGGAGTAGCTATAACTCCAGGGCTGTATGGTGGTGAAACTGGTGCCCTCTACTCATTGACAGCTGATGTTTGCGCCGCGTGCTTTTATAGCGGTATCGAGGCGGTAAGATCGATCTTGGCTATGCTTCGTATTGTTTTGTGGTATTTGTGAGGGGGGTATTGCGGTCATCTGAGTTCGAAGTCGGAAAGATGGCATGGTGATTGTCATGTATGGATCATGGTTTAGAGATGTAACTCAGTCTCCAATCGTGTCCATCTCTTCTTCCCCCATCAAGTTCAGGCGGTATTAACTTCGTTTCAACCTCACTCAGCTCCTGAGATCTTTCATCGCTGTCCAACAGGCCATCAATGACAGCCCAAGTCGTCGCAGCTTCTGTAAACCGGCTTATCGATCGTAACTTCTTTATAGCCACGTGCAACTTTGATGCTATGGCTTCGTGAATCTTAGAATTGTGGTGGTATTAAAGTTCGCCCAACTTTCAGAGTCCCATAAGCTGGTGAGAATATGAGGGCGTAGATATGGATGACGAGGCCGACGAGTACAAGAAGTATCATGGCAAGGATGACGCCTTTTTGTCGGCTAAGTCGGTCGAAAGTAATAATTTCCATCTTGAATATCGAGCGCGGTATCGATATGTTCTGTTTTATCGTTGGTTACAGTGAATACAAGAGACGAAACGAAAGAACGGTTGGCTGGCAGATTTCTTGGGGCCAAGACAACCTTTTGTAAGAATTGGGAAATTGGGTTTGGGCTTACTGTCTCCAGTTCGTGTCATTTCCAATAGCGGCACAGCCCAGAGGGACCTACCAAGTGGAAATGGAGGTGTTGGTTGGTTGCGATGTGGAGACATGGAGGACCCTTTGTTGAGGCTAATTGGATTTATCGTAAGTCTGAGACAGGGATCTCTTCTGACATTGGTCAGACGGGACCAGCACTTGAACCGTACATCCGACGCGTACTAGAAGATACAATTCTCCGACTAACTCTCCATTGTGGTTAATCTTCACTGTAACCGTAAAGTCAATTACTTGAGCCTTCTGGACTATGATCTACATAGGGTACCACGCATGTTGATGTTCTGTTCAAGGTTCTGAAACAGCAGTGACGAGTCCAACTCTTCAATGCCCCTGGTAAGTAGGATGAATGTCAGATGACACTGATGACAACATCAGTCCGAGCGTGCATCTTGGACAGTCCCAACTGCAGCTGAATGTCCCATTTACGAGAAGTCATGTCAATGCCAATGAACCTATCCCTGGTGGTCACATGCGGCACAGTCTTAAAGGACATCATCACTCTTCTCTGCTTATTCCCATCAAGACAACATTGCATCAATGGAGCGGTTTGCTTGGCATTCTGATCAATTTGGCTCAGCGAGGAACCGAAGAGGAAGATTTTACGTGCCCCTGCATTTGACTCCGCTCAGGTCGCTTGCAGTGCTGTCATTGCGATGGATCATCCTGTGTTCTAGAACGGCCATTTATGGGACGGAGACCTGATCTGGAATGTGCCAAGAAGTGTTGGTCGTTAGCTTACAGCTGTTGGCTGAGAATTGGACCCTGCTAACAGACCTGTTATCGATGTCGGTAAAAGACAGTGGAGACACTAACAGAAATGTTAGCACCAACAGTCAATAGTTACCAAATAGTTACGGAGTGCCCGGAAAGCAGCTGAAGCCTGTATTGAGCAATCTAACTTAGAGGCTGTCCAACTTGAGGAAAGTGATATTGCAAGTCCCGTTTTGAGCCCCAATAGCGCACCAGCCCGTTCTTAACGTGTTGCGTCAAAAAATGCTTACTGTTCAAGCACTCAGCAGATGGAGAGGGAGTACCTGCTAATCCCTGTTGTTTACCGCCTACTTCACCGGGCTGCCCATCGCGTCTCGGCTCGGGACGCGCTTCTGAGCTAGCTACCCTGTATCTGAGCATCTCGGTGTCAAAAAGTTATCACGTTACCTACGAGAGGAAGAATGCCTCAAATCGTTTGTGAGATCGTTTCCAGATCATCTCGCAAGACTAAAGTGAGTACTCTGAGGATTTATGTCGTGTTTTAGACTGGCATATGCAATACATAGAAGATGGTATGCCGACATGGCTTCGCGATCTGTTAATTGGACCCTCTGGGAGTCAGCGTTCTGGCAAGTGTTAGTTAGAGAAGAGAAAAATATCAAGTCTTATATCTCAAAAAGCATCATTCTGTAGCCATTTATTTAGTCTTTACGTGGTTTTTCCACATCCAGTTTTACTCAGTGTCTACTAGAAGCCAAGAAGCATTTGCTCAAGGTGTAAAATGGGATAGTCTGATATTCTATACAGCTACAAGATGCACGAGGAGGAAGACTGAAACCAACCATCGGCAAAGCACATGGGCATGTCTCGGCAGAGACCCAATGTTACACGGCGAAGCAATGGATGGGGTTTGTACGATTGAGACCAAACTTAAACGCAATACAGTGAGAGTAGCATGATACCATGACTAGCAAGAATTACTTCATATGAGCACAAACATCAGTGGCATGTATGAGCCATGAGCTGTGAACCTCAAGTGGCACTAAAGAAGTCAGGGGAAGCCAGTCAGCATCTTGAAAACAAATCTGGTCAAAGAAGGTCCATTATTCTATCTTGTGTGTATGGGAATACTCATGCGTCCATTCCTCATGATCATTCGGATGCGTTGGCAACCACAAACTCAAGAATGGTCAAGTTAGGGCCATTCCAATGCTTTCTAGCATGCGTAAACCACAACCCAACAGCGATAGCAAGGACGGCTACCATGACCGGGCCGCAGTAATTCATGTTCTCGCCAGTGACTGGGAGAGTTGATGGGAAGGGGAGGAAAATAATGACGTAAAGGGTATAAACCAGAGCAAAGACGTTGACGGGAAGGCCGAAACGACCAAGGTTCCACTCTCCAAGCTTGATGGTAGATCCCGAGAGACGAACGTAGATGATACTGGCAATGGCGATAGCGTAGCTGAGGTACAGAGCCAAAGATGAGAGAGATGTAATGGCACCGAAAGCAACGTATGAGGTGTTGCCAATGTTGAGAAGGTTCAGAGCGCAGACGAGGAAGACAGTGAGGATGATAGAGCGGGTAGGTACGCGATGAGTAGGGCTGACATACGCAAAGTAGGCAGGCATACCACCATCACGAGACCAAGCCCACGTCAAACGAGACACAGAAGCAATGTTGGCGAGGTTGACACTGAACGAGATGATGAAAAGACCAGCTATCATGGCAGTGGTGGCTTTGTTGGAGCCAGTCACGTTGAGGAGGATGGCCTGGATCTGACTGGGTTGCTCAAGCATGTCTTCGACGGAGCCCATGGCGGAGATGAGAACGTTGACCATGATGAAACCCAGGACGCCGTTCATGAAGATGGACCAGAACATGGCGCGAGGGACGGCAGACTTGGCCTTTCGGGTCTCCTCGGACATATGGATAGCACTGTCGAAGCCTGCAAACAGTTAGCGGAATCATGATGGAAAACTTCCAAAAGGGACTTACCCGTGAAACTCCATACGCAAGTTAGCATGCCCAGGTTCCATGCAATGTACTCATTGTCCCATCCGGAAGAAATGTTACGCTGCAGCCAGAAGGAAGAGGGGTTTCGAGGACCCATCACGACTAGCACAACGACGAAGATGACGAAGAGGCAAACATGAAGAACACCAGCGACAAGCTCGACCCAAGGAATAAGCTTGAAGGCGTAGACGTTCATCAATCCATGCACCAAACACATGGCGATGACAAGAACGGAGGTATGCCATCCACCAGCGACATAGCTGGGATGGTTGATGCTGATCATCGACTCGAGAAGTATGATAGTGACGTTGGCAATAGCAGCCAGCAAAGACACATAGCCAAACCATGTGGACCATCCTTGAATCCAAGTCGCGAATCGCTTCACCGATTGAGGCGCCATGTAATACGTCCAGTGGTATTGCGCGCCAGCGACAGGCTGAATGGAAGCCATTTCTCCCAACGACGCAGCCTGGGAGATGGCGCCGAAGAAGACGATGATGAAGCTAAACAGGAACGTTTGCGGTCCGCCATTGAAGAGGGCAAAGTACATGTTTCTACCAATATCAGCATCGCTGCGACCGTAGAATGGGGAAGGGTTGACTTACGAGCACATACCCTCCCATAATGCCATGTACGTCAACGAAAAAGCAAAAAGCTGCGAAAAAGAAAACACCTTGCGCGTTCGTGTAACATTGTAGATGTTGGAGTCCTCAGGCGGCCTGGCTGAAGCGTCAACGCTCACAGGAATAGGCTGTTGCTTGCCCGAGGCTTCCAACTCAATGCTGTTACTGCCGTGCGACATCGTGAACCCAGAATATGCGAGCGATATTGAATGCAGGAACACGAACCAACAAACTTCGGGGTCTGGGTATAAGCAGATCCTCAGGTATAAAAATGCCAGCACGAGTTACCTACAAAGTGGACCTATCGGGGAAATGCGAACGAGCTATTGCCTGAAACAAGTAAAGAACCTCTGGCATC